ACAAACAGAAGACAAGGGCCATAATGCAAGCATATCTATTACTACCAAATTATATATAATGAAGAGATATTTCAGGAGAGCTGGGACATTGAGATAGCGATAGCACCATTTACAATTTAAGAGTAATTCTGGGAGGAAGAGGAAGTGAGCTCAGAGACGCCATCCTCTCTTCTCCTGGGCAGACACACGCGATGAAGCTCCGACCCAGGATGGACATAGGCTAGAATCTTCCCGGTAAGACTGGTGCTACAGTTTATTAGAAATGGGTTGATCGGGATATCAGAATTAGCCAGTAAGGGCTAGAGCTAATGGGCCAAGCAGTGCTTAAAAGAATACAGTTTCCGTGTAATTATTTCGGGTAAAGCTAGCCTTGCAGGCAGCGGGGTGCTGGGGACGCAGCCCCACCGCTCCTATTTCAACATATGACATCACTAGTGATAGAGATGGGATTTGAGTTGGGCATGAGTACAGGAGTAAAATTAACATAATTTTACCCGATTTCTGGAAATTGAATCATTTGTTGCATTCTCGTAGCTTAAGAAAGGAAAGAAAAGGTTTAAAACCCTCACGGATTTTTTACAATAACACTTTCAGCATACTTTATCACAGACTTATCCTTCAGTTATTGAATGGACTTTGAAGATATCTCAGGTGTATGCCTTCCCTGTTGCTATTTTACATTTAATATCTTTCTAAAAATATGATGATGACCAAGACCCTAGTTGTGCTGATGATATTTCATGACTTTAAATAAGAACATTTTACTAAGATTATAATTAGACCACCAGTCCCTCTGCTGTTACTGTCCAGTCTGCCTACTCCAGAGGATAGTTGGCACATGGTTGGAAATTGGAGGCATTGATTGGCTGTCAAGGCTGGACTGAAGGCTACTAAAAAGTTACTTACCTGGGACATCAGGCTCATGAGGTGGGTGGAAGCACAAGGTAGTTCCAGAGGAGAAACAGAAGGAAAAGGCCAAAATTCACTATTGGAAGAAGGAACAACTCATAAGGTTACAGAAGCAGGAAGAAAAAAAAATGTAGCCTTTAAGATGCATCTGGTGATGGTTTGCTGAGCCCCCTGGGTCCTTTATTTGAGATCTTATGTAATCCAAATGAAATGTGTGATCTGGTGGGGTGGAGCTGCATGGGAGACCCATCAGGAACCTTCCAACTCAAAGAAAGCAGCTCCTCACCCAGCAGTGTTTCTCTCTAACCCCAGGACTCTGTCTTTTAGCAGTGGGTATCCCTAAAGGTCAGGTTGCAGCAAGTCTTCAGTGTGGGAGCAGGAACAGTTGGACAGCTTCCCCTCCTTTCCTTATCACTCAGGAACACTGTAATTGTCCCTCATTGCTCTAGTATGGGATACCACTGAGCTCTTTACAGTGCCCTAAGAATTGGAAGCTGAGGTCAAAAGAGCGTGTGGGGAGACGGATTGCCGGCCTTCCAAGATACTGCTGGCAGTGTGCTTTCCTCTTACTTTTAAAGACAGCAAACTTCTATTTTCAGAAAAGTAGGTAGCTAACGCACGGCCTAGCAGAAAGAACTGTGAGTTTGTGAACAACACAACAAGAAATGTGTGTTGAGGAATTGTTTGTGCTAAGCAGAGACACATGTCATTTCTCAGCTGGAGAGTCTACTTCGTGTGCATTTTTAAAGTGCTATGTTATTTTTTTTTTAAAGACAGTTTTTACTTGAAATAAACCTAACAGGTTATTTTTGGTTTCACATCTAGTGTAGTTGTTCTAAAAGTCAGACAAATAGATTACAGAATTTCTTGGGCATTTCTGTCTTGAATCTGCCAAGAGAAGGATTTTATAGGTGTGTAAAGTAAAGATGATGTAAGTTCTTTGCCTTCATCTAGGGGTGTTATGTCTGCTCTACAGCCTTCAAAGTCTGCACTTCCTTCTTTGGCTGTCCGCTCCTTTATTTTCAGATCCTTACACAATCCCAAATATCCATGGTCTCTCTATGACTCCATTGCCTGCAGGATGTAAAGCTGGGCATTCTAGTAGATAAATGAAATCAAAGTATACCATTGAACATCCGTGTAGTCATTTAAAGTCTCTGAACCTTAATTTCGTCATCCAAAAATGAGGAGAATCTGTTTTCTAAGGAATTGCTTTGATGAGCAAATAAAGTAAGATATGGGAAGAGCTACAGGGTCGCATCATGGAAGTAAACAACCAGTAATATAATTATTTTACTTGTCGTCCAGATCATAGTTATGCCACTCTCCTCTGAATACAAATAGTACTAATTCTTTGTAATGCTCACTAGACACGCATTTGTCAGGTAGATATATCTGTAAGTTTTACACCAGTTTCCCTAGACATTTCTGAGAACTATAGCTGCACCAACATAAAAGCACATGTTCTTTGCCTGTCATTCACTGGATTTTCACAAATATCATACTGTCATGTAGCAAATGTCCTATTCAAGAAAGGGGAAGATACCAGTATCCCAAAAGTCCCACACACTCCCTATGTACTCTATATTGACTCCCACAGGTAGCCATTAGGCTGACTTCTAGAATCAAATCTAGATCAGTTCTAAACTATAAGATTCCAAACTTAATAGTATATTATTTTAATGACAATTTAAATACAATGACTAAAGAAAGCAATATATTGTTTCTCACTATAAGAACTATTTGTCAAATCTGCACTCTCTCTTTCTAGCCTCCTATTTTTCACCATTATCTTTGGTCTTTCCAAATCTGGCAAAGGCCTAATCCTTGGTGAACCCCACTGCTTTCTCCACATCTCCGTGAGGGATACAGAGGACCTGGAGAAGAGAGCATCCATACTCCCAACCTGATGTTACCAAAGTCCATGTTCTCCAACTTAACTGGCTGACTACCTGTCCTCCTTTCCCATCCAGCTACCAGGTCTCTTTTCCACTCTTCATACCAGATAATTCAAATCATTTCTCCTTATTTCAGCCTTCCTATTACATACTTTCCAGTGAGATCCGAGAAGCCTTGTTATCAGGGGAAAACCCAAGCTGTAAGCAGCTATCAGCCTTTTGTCACCAAACAAAACCTTGATTGCACACGTCCCTGATTGCATCTTCCCTGGTTTCCTTTCTGCTCTGGGCCTTTCTGTCACAACGTCATACTTTATCAGGTTCACTGCTCTTCTCTAGTGACACCTTCTCCTTCATGTTAGTATTGCAATGTGTGAAAATCTTAAATGCAGCAGTAGAAATAAGTTGTCTGAAAGCCCAGATATGTGCCTGTCACTGCCACCCTCCCCTCGTGTAGACTTCTCTACACCATTCTTTATACTTTCTGTCTATGGTTCCTTGTTGTTGTCTTCCCTTCACCCACTCAATTCTAGTGTCCACTTCCACTAGCTCATTTAACACCTCCCCCTACATCCTTTGCTAAGATTCCTGACAGTGTCCATATGGCTAAACTAGAGTCACTTTGCAGAATATACTGGCATTTGAATATGTTGTCTGAGCCTGTTTCTGGAAACATGCTCTCTGTTTTGCTGCTGAATTTATGCTCCTAGGTTTTCCCCTGACTCCCTAGGAATTTCTTTGTACTCATCTTTTAGAAATCTTCTCCATTCTTTTACATAGATGCCAACTGAGTTCTCTCCAAACTCTTTTTCATTTCATGCACCATTACAAAAAGATAACTACAAAATCTATACATTTATTCAAAGAACTGACCATCGCTTAACTTGGATCAGATGAATAAGTACAAAAACATATTTCATGCTCAGACATAACTCATATTTTAAAGAAAATCTCCATTTTTAATAACAACTACAGTTTATGGAATGTTTCTTGACACCAAGCCTAACTACCTTGAAATTAATCATTTCTGATGATAAGTAATATTTTCTCATATAGAAAGCATAAAAACAACATAGCATGACAGACTGTGACTTCATAGAGCTGACGACAGCCCAGGTTTCTTACCCAGAGATACTGGATAACTTCTGGCAGACTTTTTAGACTTGCTGTCCTTTCATATTGTATACAATACATTTTTTTTATAGTTGAAATGGTATTTCTATTCCTTTATAATTGGACATTTGTGTAATTAAAATTATTCACAACTGTTCTAATGGTTTCATAAAATAGAAGTATTCATTATATCCATATATTACTAAATAAAATTTTAAAGTCTTGCATTTTTCATTATATATATATATGAATATGTCTATGTATTAGAAAGTTTCAGCTCTTTAACCTTGGATGCTCTACAAGACTCCACTTTAAGACCTGTATCTGTTTCTATAGTCATTGACATTTTAATTTATTTTTTAATATTTTAGTTATTACAATTATTTACATATTTGCATCTGTGGGGGGTTAGGGATTACTGTAATGGAGATCAGGGAACAACTTGAGAGAATTAGTTTTCTTCTACCATCTGGGCCATGGGGATTGAACTTAGGTTATCAGAGGTCAACCATTTTGCCAGCTCTCAATTTATTTGTAAAGAAATTTCCTACATTTAAGTGATATCTTGCTATTTTTATTCATAAATCCTTCTTTATTAGACAAGGCTGACTTTTTGTTTATTAGCTATATTTAAATCATTCCTATAGTTTTTATTATTTTTTTCTAATTAACATTAAAATGATCTGGAGGATTATTGAGAGAAAAATAAGTCTCTGGGTAAAACTGAGGAGAGAAAGAGCAGGCCTGGGCCTGGCACCACATTCTGATTTTCTTCCTTTTTCAGGTGCAAAGGCTAGACACACCTATTTGGTTTATAAGAGAGCAATGTGCTAATGGTTACTGTTCAGTTTTGTCATTTCTTATAGTAAGTGTTCTGGAGCAGATAAACAGATTATTCAGAAGAGTAGCATGGTTTCTCTCTGGTGCGTGATGCTTAGATAGACAGCCACGCTAACCACCACATCCCACAGGGCTGCTACTGCTGTTCACGCTTCCAGACTAACACCTTCTGTTTCTCATGCCAGTGTTGTGCATGATGAGTGTTCCTTATGACTGACAAGGTGCAAACTCTCTTCACAGCAATCAGAATGAAAAATCGAAGACAGAACCTCAAACCACACTCCAGAAATCCCAGGCTGATTATTCAAGGCAGGTGAGCAGAGACCTGCCAGGACCCTCCGACCCTTCTGATCAGAAAATCACTTCTAACCCTGCTGAGAAGGAGGACAGCAAGCACCCAGGCAGCAGTCAGAAACCAGAGAACAACCAAAAATTCTCATCCAGGAACAAATTCCTGGATGGCAGGGTGAGTAACAAGAAAGAGCTAAGCTTTTCTTGGTAATTCATTAGGAAGATACAGAGAAAAACAAATGCACACAAACATATACAAATAGAGATTAGTACATTTTTATAGAATAGAAATTATAAATGATACTTTTCAATTTAAAATAAATCTCAAGGGAATGTTATATATTACATCTGTCTATACGGAACTGAATTGGTCAACCTAACTTATGTGTGGCAAACTCACTGATACTTGGTAATCAGTACAGTAAATAAGTGTCACCAGCCATGTGTCTTGGCTTGCTTTTTATTGCTGTGGAAAAACAGCATCATCAAAAGCAACTTAGGGAGGGGGGAAGGGCTTGCTTTACCATGTAGTTTATAAATAATCATGAAGAAAAAGAAGTCAGGGCTAGAGCTGAAGGCAAGAATCTGGATTTCTGGAACTGAAGCAATGACTGCTGAGGGGTGGTGCTTACTGGCGTTCTCTCTGTGGCTTCCTCAGTCCACTTTCTTATATAACCCAGGATCACCTGACCAAGGGGAGCACCATTCAAATTGGACAGGGCACTCCTACATCAGTCATTAATCAACAAAATGCCTCACAGACTTGCCTACAGGACAATCTGAAAGAAGAATCTTCTCTATTGAAGTTTCCTCTTCCTGGATGACTCTAAAGTTTGTGAAGTTGACTAGAATGTAACCAGCACACCATGTAAGGTTCCAGTCTGTTGGAAAAAGAAAGTCTGTCTGCTTTCACATTACAAGAATAGATTAGTAATTTTCAAAATCCCATGCAACCATGTTTAATTTAAAAAAAAAATTCCCCAAACTGTCTTGATGGAAATACATATCACTGGACTCTGTTAGTAGCCATCCAAACAATCCGTAAAAGCTGTCCTGAGAAGGATAAATCTAAATGATAAGTAATTTGAAATTAAAAGCCAAATATAGCACCAATTGAAAACTGGATCCAAATCAAGACGAAACTAATGATTCATTGATAACAAAATGCCATTTCCCAAAATTACTGAAATTTCAATTAAATGGATACATAGAGTGGGCGTCTTGCAATGCTGCCAAGCATTAAGTGACAGCCAGATATTTTAGTAGAATACTGATTAAAGTCTGCATAAAACTCAAACAGAAATATTTTTAGCTTATAATTTTAATAGGCCTTTAAAAACCACTAGGATGTTAGCTAGTTTTTCTCCATATGAGGAAATGAATGCCTATGGATTCCAATCCTCTGTGCATAAGATCCAGACAAAAGACTGTACATTTGGAGTGCTTGTCAGCCCACCACTGGATTTCAGAGTGCATTCCAATGGTTCCAGCTGAGCAACAAAGTCCATTTATGAAAGTAACTTGGCCAGTAAGGCAGTGGTATATCTGAGGCTGAAACTCAGATCTTGACTCCATTCAGTATATCCCATTGACTTTCCTGAGATGTGGCCTCGAAGTTATATGGTCTGCGTAGGGCAGGGAAGAATGAATTAGCAAAACTAAAACAATACTGTAAGAACATCTAAAAGTCTATGAGTTTTCCTCTAATTTTGATTCTAGTATTGATTGATTTATTTTGTCACTCCCCAAAATGACTTTGGTAATAAGACTATGGTTTATAAACAGGTACTTTCAGGAATATCTTTTATGTGTTTTTTGTGTTGCGTTACCTGCTGCAGGTTCCACCGTTGTTTCTATTACTATAATAGATGACAACCCGAGACCCCAAAGTTGAAGCGACTCAAAAGTATACCTTTGAAATGTGCCTGATTCATTTCTGCCTCCCTCCCCCCCCGCTCTTCCTATTCCTCCTTGTTCCTGCTCCTCCTTCCTTAGCTCATCCTCCCTTCTGCTCTATATCCTCTTGCTCCTTCTCTTCTCCCTCATCTCTCTTTCTAGACAAGTTCCAATGTATCCCAAGCTGTTTTCAAACTCTCTTGTAGCTGAGGACTAATTTCAACCCTTTATACTCCCATCTTTCCTTCTTAAGTGCTCATATTACAGGCATGTACCACCATGCCTGGTTTATGTGGTGCTGAGGATGGAACGCAGGCACTGTGCGTGCTAGATATAAACACTATACTATTGAGCTATACCCTCAGTCTTCGATTTTCTGTAAATTTTAATTGATTTTCCTAATCATGAAGTACTACATAATTGCTAGAAAGCAACATAATACAAATAATTAGAAAATAAAACCTAAAATAGAAAAGCAGTGGCTTTTATTTTCATTTTTCTTTAATGGTTCCACATTATTTAATCTTAGGAGTATACATTGAGACAGCCACCATAGTGTGGGCACATGGCTTTGCTTATGCCACATTAAAAAAATACATTTTGGGACTATATTTCAACTACAATAACATCATTCCGGAAGAAAAATATACCTTCAAATCAATGCTGCATAGGCAAAAGAAGGCTCATAACTAGTTTCCAAGATTTCCCTGCTTCTTGACCCGTTGATGCAAGGAGTGTTCTCAGCCCCAAGAACAAGCAGAGTAGCGAGAGTCCCAGGGATTTTATGTGACACTTCATAGACAGAACATATCTGATGTACCAAAGAACCAAACAGCCCTCTGGATGGCAAGGGCCAACCACAGCTGGCTCCAGGTCCCCCCACAACTCAGCATCACTGAGATTCCAGCAACATTCACACTTAGCAGCCCAGCACCGGCAGAGCTGGCACCCCGGGGAAATAACAGTAATGACAGTGACGCAAGTGGCAAGAAAAACAAAGTGGTTGATGACTTTCCACAGCTGCTGGCCACCATCAGGTTCCATTCTGAGCCTAACTTCCCACCTCAGAAACACACAAAGTGCAAGGATATTGTCGCACAAATACGTATGTCACAGGATCCAATATCCATGATGAGACCCGCAAGTGACAACGTTTTCCAAATACCTTTTCCCCATAATAAAATAATCTTAATTAAAACCTAATTTAAAGGAAGTGTCAGAGTTATAGTTGTAAGCTATCAAAAGTAAAAGACTTTCTTGAAGAATCATCCACGTCAGTCCTGATTTACTGATGGAAACTTCAGTTCAATGACTTTAGAGTCAGGGGAGCTGTCCCCACTTCTGTCACTCTAAGTGTCCCTGGGTGAGAGCTGGCAACCTTTCTGCAGGTAGTACGGGAGCCTCCTGTCAGAGGTCAGAAGGAGGCCAAAGTAGGGTGAGGAGGACTTTATGGGCCTGGATAGGAAATCAGTGTGGTATTGAACCCCAACAAAGAATGTGTGATCTAACTCTACAGTCTCCATCTCTTCCCTTCAACATCTTGAATAACAAACTTCCCTTGCTCTTTAAAGCACTTTTTTCAAGACTGAATTCACCTCAGACTGGTGATGGTGCCTCTCTTCCAAGTAGACTGTGCTTCCACAGAGTTTCCTCATGACTGAGTTCTTGGTCTGGAAAAGGGTTCTCCCCTTGCCCAGCAACATACAGAAGATAGAAGATGAAGGCTGGTTCTGGCGGCTTTCTTTTTCTTCTCCCTCTATATGTTAACACAGAGTAAGAATCATTTTATATGTATTCCTTGCTCTCCTGTTCAATTAATTTCACATCAAGGATTCTTCCATTTGCATGAAGAAAGTGTGTCTTATTCCATAACTGTAAGGGCTCTTTCCTCACATTTAAAGCTAGAAGCCATGTGTCAAATCTTTACATATATTAACTAATTTCTATCCCAAATCACCAGTGATGCCAGAAACACTTACTTCTTTAGTTCATGGAGAAGGGCACTGACAGATGAGGTCAGTTGCCTTGGCAGTATCATAAGGCTGAGAAGTGTCAACCAGATGATGCAAGCTCAGATTCTAGGCCCTGTTGTCCCCAGACTGAATCTACTCCTTTGCTTGAACACAAACAAAGCCCTCGTAGCAACAAGCTAATTCTAATTTTGATGTTCATCCCCTGCCTTCAGCTCCTCACTGACATGGAGTATGCATTTATCACTACCACCTGGAAGAAGTTTGCTGTATCAGCAGTTCAGCTCATGGACTTCCGTGATTCGGATTCTTTGCTGGTTCTCTGATACCAAAGGAAAATGACTTCCTCTCTCCACTTAGGATTCATAATGGGTTTGTCAGAGGCTCAGTGTGGGACACCAGTTACCAAATACAGCAAGGCCTCCTGGGAGGTGTGGGGACTAACTAATTGGTTCTGTCTGCCAGGCAGGCATGTGATGCTGGCTTGCCAGATGGCAACCACAGTTGCCTGGTACAGGAACCCTCATTACCACCTTGACTAAGTGGTAAATGGAATCCTGCTGTAGTTATAGAAGCACACCAATGAAAACAACTTCTAGATCGTTATCACTCACACACAGCTAAAAATAAGCCGGGGATGGATCCCACAATCTGGACAGACTAATTTGCTCCAAAAGAGAAGTTACTGATAAAAACCGATACTGCAGGAAGGAGGGCAAACAAACAGAAAACAGCAGATGATGATCAAAGGATAGCCTTAATAAGAGGGAAAGCTTAACATGTTATAAGAACATAACACTTTATATGCTTAGGAATAGTAAGACATCGAGAAATCAACAGGACAAACCTTAACCTCACACATGAATGAGGCTTAGAGATCTTAAAGGTCTTCTAAGTTGAGAATTGGATTATTATGGAACTAATCTGTTTCTTCCTACAGATAAACCTTTGAAAATGTTTCAAACACACACACACACACACACACACACACACACACACACACACGAGAGAGAGAGAGAGAGAGAGAGAGATTCTCAGAAACATCAGTTCTGATTTCTCTACTAAAAATTTGTTTAAAGAACGTTTGACTAACATCAAAGGCAGTAACATGATTTTAAAATATGAATTAGAGTGCTCATAGCATCTGGCAGTATGAAAATAAAAGTGTGAGCGCCTTCATTTTAATAGCTATCACAGCCAGTTTGTAACAGTGCTCTTCAAAGCCCCGTTGGAAACTTGGCATTTAGTTATACAGTAGAACTCTATAATTTTATCTTCATTGTAGAGGTGAATAGACAGATATAAGGGGATGTCCAACTTCCATGTGTATTTGTAGCTCAGTCCTTCATGGTCAAAGCAGATTCCTCTGACCTGATTTCAAATGGGCTCTGCTGCACTCCTTCAGTTGCACCGGCAAGAATCTAGACATACTTTTGTCTTCTCACTCCATAATCTGATGTCCAGTCCCTGAGATCCTTACATTATTCCTTTCCAGTGTCTCTTTCCTTCCTTTCTTCCGTTAAGAATATAGTTAGAGACCCATTCTGTCTTATACAGATTTTAAAGATCTTCACACCACTGGATGTTTTTGGTTGCAAACTCCTCCTTTGTACTGGCCAGTTATGACAAGAAATGTTGTCGTGTAAGACCTAATGTGTGGGTGGTTTATGACAATCACCATGTGCACTCACATCTCTAGGTGGGAACTAACACAAACTTAATTGATCCCAGTTGGAATTGGCTGGACTGTCTCCAAAGTAGAAACTTGTTTCAGGCCTTTTTTTCTCTTATATTTTGGCTTTATTGGGATTTCATTTATTGTGCTGTGTATTTTTTATTATAATATTATGATGTTTAATATATATAAAGAATATATATGTATTCTTAAAACTATACATATGTGTATATATATATATACACACATATACATTTATGCACAGATAACATCAACTAACTTTTAAAAAGAGGCCCTGTGTTTGAAAGAGCAAGGAGAGATACATGAGTGGGCTTGGAAGGAGAAAAGGGAAAGGACAAATGATATAGTTACATTATAATCTCAAAAAATAAAAGTATAATCTCAAAAAAATGTTTATATATATGAGAGGAATATTAATAAAATAGTGTGTGTGTGTGTGTGTGTGTGTGTGTGTGTGTGTATGTGTGTGTTTGTGCTTGCCACAACTTTTAGGAAGAACTTCAAAACCTATCAGCTTTAGCTTCTCCTCCGAACATTTAAAATTCATTGGTAATCTCTATCTCTCTGATACAAAACTCAAACTTCTTCACCCAATTCTCTCTATTTTCTTTTACTAAAATAAAATTTTACCTTATAAACAAAATTCTCTTGTCCTTTTGTAATTTTCTTTTGCTGTTCATTTTAAAAAATAATTTATATTTTGGGAACTTCATACATGATATACTTCATTCTGACCCAAACTCACTCTCCTTCCGTCTTTCTCCAAGTCTCCACCCTCTCAAGTTCATGATCTCATTCCTAATTACACACTCTCATTCACAATAGTCTCAAAAACATTAAGAATAGCCCTAACCAAGGAGAGTGCTACAAAATACCACCAAAGAGATTTAATGAACTTTAAATCTTTGAAGAATGAGATTGAATAAGACACTCAGAAATAGAAATGCCCACCATGAGATGCGTTGGTAGAATTGATGTTATAAGAGTGATCATTCTATCATAGAAATTTGTAATATCAATGCACTTTCAGTCAATATTCCCACAACATTCTTCACGGAAATAGAAAAATCATCCCAAAATGCATCTAGAGCTACAAAATACCCAGAAGAGTCAAAGCAATTTTAAGTAAAAAGAGCAATGCTGAAGGTACCAGAAGTCCAGATTTCAGGATATATTAAAAGCTGTAGGAATAAAAACAGCAGGTTAGTAACATAGAAAAAAGATAGGTGAACAAGTGAGCAAAACAAAAGACAAACGTAAGTGCACATAAATACAGCCATTTGATGTTTGACACAGATGTCAAAAATGCACACTGAGAAAAGATATCATCATCAATAAATAGAACTTTAAAAATTGAACATCCATAAGAATGGAATTAGACACATATAGAGCAATATTTAAGATTTGTTTGACTTCCAACATTTCTAATAACCCCAAGGAAACATAAGTGTGTGTGAAATTCTTAAGCTTAATTTTTAATAATTCTTACAGGCAAATGTAACAAAACTAGCATTGACTGAAGTTATTGCAGACTGTTTTGCCATCTAAAAGCAGGATTTCATGATTGCCCTTGGACAAAGCACAGAATTTAGCAAGTCCTAAAGGAAATTCATGACCTCCCTTTCGTCTCCCTCTGCAGCTTTATCTTTTGCTTGTTCCAAAAGTTAAATTAGACTGTGAAAAGATCTCTCCCTCTTGCTGGTACACTGTGTATTCCGTTAGCATTTTCTATATTCACCTCCATTTTTTCTGTCATCTTTCTGCTGCCCTTCCCATTCCTACCAAGTTGTTAGCCTATAAAATCTAATTTCTTTTTCAAGAGTAGACTTAGGTGCCATTGCCTGTTGACCTGGTCTCCTAAGTTCTTGTTAGGTGGATCTATGAGCTTTCCTAATAGGACTTTTTCTACCCTCTATTGTATTACTGGTGTGGTTCTTTACTGTGCATCTCTCTCTTTGAAAGTTATGAGAGAAACAACTTATTCTGCTCTGTTCATTTTAGGGCTTATCACAGTGCCTGACAGAGACTAAGGAAACTTTTAAATGTTTTAAGGTCTAAAAAGATATTTTATGTTGGTAACACAACTTATGATAAAAAGTGGTTTAGGTATAAAACTGTAAATTCTTCAAGAAATGATAAGTAATAAATTATTTTCCCTGAATTTTCCAAATACAGATGGACTAGACACTATGAAAATAATTCTTAATAGACAATTGTTCTTATTTTATATAGTTTTTATTGTGTTGGAGTTAAAACCTTTCTTTTTGTTTAGACAAAAGGGAGAAATGTTATGGGATAATCTTTTCATACACTGTGAAGATGTATTTTTGCCAAGGCACCTTCTGATTGGTTTAATAAAGAACTGAATGGTCAGTAGTTAGGCAGTAGAGGCTAAGCAAGATTTTCTGGGAGAGAGAGGAAGAGGAGAAGGAATCTAGGTGCACAGATTAGACCAGCAAGATGTGGAACAAGTCAGACATATTGTACAGAGAAGAGGTAACCAAGCCACATGACAAAATGTATATTAATAAAATCAAAATTTTTAAATATATAAGACCTAGTTGGGGAAAATCCTAAGCTAAAGGCCAAGCTCTCACAATTAGTCTTAAATCTCCATGTAGTTATTGGGGAGCTGGTGGTCCCACAAAGAAAGTTTGACTACATTTAGGAAAGGTTGCTACACTGACCGATTTAGGCCATGTTGGTAAATACCAACTTCACTCAAGGGGATGAAGGAGACTAAAGGGAAAACAAAGGCCAAAGTTTGTGAAGTTTCTCAGGATCATTAGGGAGGACAGCACAAACAACTTATTGGTTAGCTTGAAGAATTTTCCCCAAATTTGGATGAAGGGATTGTTCCTGTGTATCTGAATTCTGGTACTAGCTTGTCAATAATTAAAAGTATGAAAGTGACATAAAGGCAGCAGCTAAATAGTTTATGGAACATATATTATATTATAAAGAATCAATAATTCATCATATTCTATGGCACAAGGAGATGATGTTTTAACCTTGACCCTAAATCCATTGTTATTTTGTTATAAACTTTAATAATACCTTTAGAGAGTAACGTTTTTAGTTTCTTTCATTCTGGGCAATGTTCATAATTACCTTTGCCACCCTTTATAAACATTCTAATTAAAACATCCTACAGAGACTTATATTTCTGAGAAAAAGCATACATTTGCCTATAAACACCTCATACTCTACCTAATTTCTGTGTGTGTCTGTCAAAGACACCTTTCTTTCTCAGATAAGACAGTAGTATATTGTTAACATTTTTGTTCAACATGTATTCATTGTCTACTGATGACATTGGTGTAGCACGTGCCTTCTTCACTGGAAATTTAGGACCTCAATATTTGCGTGGACTGAAGTCCCTTTAGAACCTCAATTTGCTGAAAGGAGCTGCTTGGCTCACTCCTGTTCCCCCTCTTGGTTTTTTTTTCCTCTCTGCTTTCCTGCTCTTTGCTCATATTTGTCTTTGTTTCTTTAAGACTTCCCATGAGGCAAACGTCTACTGCAGCTCTGTACCAACTGGAGACCAGTCTCTATCCTATATGCACTATCTCCCCACAAGAAAATCTAGAGACTGCTCTTTGGAACATATAACCAAGGAGAGAATTGGCCAGCCTGAGGTGTGTATACTAAATTATTGGCTTGTTTTATACAGCTGTGTGGATGATGAGCATTACTCATTGGTTGTGTATTTTCGTTAGAAATATTAATTAGAAAGTCTGAGTATGGACTGGCAGATGTCATAATCCCCATGCTCAGCAGATTTATAGGAAGGAATCTTCCTTGGGGACTTGACAGGCAAACCCATAGACCTCAACTTCCTTTGCTCCAAATTTCCCACAAGGGCCCCTGCAGTCCTGTTAACTCAATCTGGATTCAGCTTTCATCTTTTGTTTTACTCTTAGCACTAAGCTTGTCAATCTGACAAGTAATTAAAATGTATTATTTGAAATTTTTATTCAAGATGAAATGTTTTTGTGTTCATTGTGCAAGACAGTGATAGGTGTTCAAGAGGCCGTGCATTTATTCTCAGAAGGGTTGTTTTCTTCATTCCTAAGGAAGAGATCTGGGGCCCCATAAACTAATGAAAGTACCATTTTGTCTCGTCCTAGACCAGCCCTGCAAGGACAATCTGTGACACCTACCCCAGTGATTTCTGCTTCCTCCTTAGGCTTTTACTGGTCTTGTCTCCGAGCTCTGCTCACATTTCTGCCCTTTTTTGTGTTAGGAAATTGTTCAAAGGCCAAGTATTATGACAAGAGAAGATGCTTTTCTCCTCACGTTGGTCAGAAAAGAACTCAAGTCATACCCATTGAGCTCCAGTCTGTGGGACAAACTTCTGAAAGAGTTGAAGACTCTGGATCCCATCTCTTCAGGGTTTCTCCTCCAGTCGCAGCTGAGTCGCCTCTTCCTAAGGCTTGAAGTCCCTCTACAGTTACCAACAGTCAAGCTACTCTGCCAAAGATTTTCTAGAAGGGATTCTCCTGAAATGGTATGGCTATCATGTGATCTGAGTAGTGTGTGTGTGTGTGTGTATGTGTGTGTGTGTTTATGTCTCTGCCTTTAACCCAACAGGGTAATAAAATAAGAAGCCAGTTTCATCTTTGAACATAGTCTTTTATATGGACTTTTAAACTTATTCATATTCATGAATGGGAGTCTTCATCAGAAAACACCAGAATAGGAAATAAAATTAGAGATCTCAGTTATGTTCAATTTCTCTTTAAAGAGTTCTTGTTTCAACTTTCACTATCTGTTCTAAACATATGAAGCCTGTACTGATTCAAGATGATGGGTCCAATGGTGAGGTGACTTGGTCTGCAAGCCTCGAGGTAAAAGCAGAGGGCTTGACTAAGACTTCTCTTGTATCATTAACAGTCTCTTAGAGGTCAGAAGTGAAATATAATTTGAAATATAATTTATCACTACCATTTTGGAAACTGGAGTCCAAGGAATAAATGGCAGAAATGGAGTTGAGACATGAGTTCATTATAGTGGCTTTGGATATGGCCTATATTTGGGCATTGAGCATAAACTCACTTGTGTATGATTGTAATATGGTTGGAATATAGATAAATCACAGAGTTACAGTAAAATATCTTGAAATGGAAATGATAGTAATGAGAAAACCTTGAGTAAGTATCATTGACCACAGGGTCTTAGACAGACTACACCTCAAAAAGGAAGCTCAGGGTGCTGACCTGTTGAAGGAGCTGTGGGCTGCATTCCGCCACCCAGCTCCCACCACTGGCTAGCTTTACCCGAAATAACAACACACAAATTATATTCTTTTAAACACTGCTTGACCCATTATATCTAGCCTCTCCTCGGCTAACTCTCGCACCTGGACTAGCCCATTTCTAATAGTGTGTGTAGCACCCAAAGGTGCGCTTACCGGGAAGATTCTAGCCTAAGTCCATCCTGGGTCAGAGCTTTATTGTGTCTGCTCCAGAGAGCAGAGCTATTGAGTCTGAGCTCACTTCCTCTTCCTCCCAGCATTTTGTTCTGTTTACTCCACCCACCTATGTTCTAACCTATGAGGGCCAAGCAGTTTATTTTTTAACCAATGCCCTTCCTCCATCACTGACCCAAATGCCAGCAGCTGCAACTCTGTGACACATGACTGTTCTACTAAATGTCCTTGGTACCTCAGTGATTTTGTCTAAAAAAAAATCAGGTCTCACTGGTATCATATCATGATTTAATGATATGACAAATGAAAAGCACTGATGTTTTACCTAGTGCTTAGATGCTGAAATAAATTTCTTTCCTCTCAGCTGTTGTAATTGAATTTTTTCTATCCTTATGAGAATTATTTAGCTGTATGCTGATAATACATGACACAAACCACATGGAACTTGAGTTTAATACAACTTTATGGCTTAAGACCTACCTCATATGAGACTTTCCCCAACTCTCTCCATAACTGTTCCTCTTTTCTCTGGAGGGTCTAATATTCACAGTTTCTGGGTGGTCTCTGTCTTAGGAGTGGAAAACAGTGACCATCCTTCAATCCCTTACTATATTGGAAAGTAATCTTGACTTTTTATCACCTAGCTCAATAAATTATTGTCCCTAGAATATACGAATGCATGTAAACTTATAAGCACATATTATATACAATAACCATTCCTGCAATGTGAGAGGGGAAAAGAGGCTAAACACTGTTATTCAGCAATAACAACCCCAAGTCCTCAGTGGTTTAAAACAACAAAGGTCATTGGTTGATTTTTTAAACATTGTCTGATGCAACCCAGGCTGGCATCTGAAGGCACCCATGTAGCTGAAAACGCCCTTGAGTTTACGATCCTTCTATCCCCACCTTATAAGAGCTATGATTATAGGCATTTGCCACCATGCCTGGTTTTATTTGATGCAGGAGCTATGTTTCATTAGGCACTGTATCAATGGGAGTACATTGCCAAGTCCTGATAGTTGTTAGTTTTTAAATGTACATTACAATAGTAGGCACTAATACTGTTTGAGCTGCTGGACCCATCCTGATGAAACAGTTACTTAGGAATTCTTTCACTTGTGATCCCGAAGGGCAAAAGTGAGACTTCCAAGGATCTCATGCTAGAAGCTTAATTATTAGACCAAAAATGGTTTTCTTTATTTCTTTTCATAGTGCCTTAGCCAGAACTAGCTGCAAAGCTCGCCCCTGGTTCTGAAAACTTCATCACCCCTGACAATTTCTTGCCAAAGAAATGTTTTTGTTACCTCAGATATACAGAGAAATAAAATAGGTATACAAATCAAACATTTACTGGTTATGGATCACAAAGAGCTTTCAAAAATAATTTTTTGGCATACAGAAAAATCAATATTTATAAAAGATGAAAGCAAGCTTCTATACTAATGAGATAAATGTGTTATTTACTTATTTCTTTTTAGATTTATTTATTTATTTTATGTGTGTACATATTTTGCCTGAATGCATTAATGTATGGTATGCCTGGTGGCCATAGAAGTCAGAAGAAAGCATCCGATGCCATAAAATTGGAGTTCCAGATGGCTGTGAACCAGCATGTGGTTACTGGGAACCAAATTCAAGTCTTCTGTAAGAGTAACGAGTCCTATTAGTTACTGAGTCATCTCTTCAACCCCTTATTTATTTTTTTAAATTAAAATATAGTTACATCACTTCTTTCTATTATTACTCCCCTCCATTCTCCACTCAAACTGATTGCCTCTTTTTCTTTTATTATGATTATTATTGCACATATAAATATGCATAAATACAACTTCTGAACCAGGTTTTGTTGCTTGTGTCTATATGGTTAATTTCAGAGTTGACCACTTTGCATTGGATAACCAATTAGACATCTCATTGCTAGGAGAGGGTAATTCTTCCTCTCTTAACAGTCACTAACAGCCTGTAGCTCTTTGTCTAGCAGTGGGATCCTGTGAGATTCCCCTATTCTGTGTTAACATGTCTATTGGTATTGTCATTGACCAGGTATTATTTAAACAGCCATATTATTTAATACTCATGAATGAAATTTTCCTGTCATTTCTAGGAGACAACAATCTCACAGCAGACTTCATAATTCTCTCACTCTTAAAATCTTTCTGCCCTCTCTTCAGTGATGTTTTCTGAGCCTTATATGAGTTGTGTTGTAGATATATCCATGGGGACTGGCATCTCCATTATCAGCTAATCTCTGCATTATGGTATAGCAGTTTCTTCTGATGCTCTCCATTTATTGCCAAGAGAATTTTCTTTGATATGGAAGGAAAGCTAAATTTATCTGTGGTTATAGGGTATGGTTTATAATACATTTAGGAATTATTCTGGCCTATTAACTGATAGCCCTACAGCTCTAAGATCCATAACCTCACTAGTCTTGAGTACCTAGATTTCTTGTACTAGGCATGATTTCCTTTCTGTTCAGTAGACCTTAAATCCAATTAAAGAGCTGTTAGTTACCATCAAGATATGGATGTTGCCATTGCACCATGTTGAATAACTTGCCATTCTGGTCACTGCAGGTATGATACATATACATTTTAGCTGCATAGGAATATTGATTGCTTCCTTCCCTTGATGACTTGCTTGGACCTTTCTTATACTGTAAAAGCTAGACTGCAGGAAGGAAGATTTTCACTCAGATCCACTATGTATTTCCCAAGTCCTATGTTTGCAGCGTGCAGTCTTCGGGAATAGGGACTTATTTTCAACCTGTGAGAAGCACCTAAAGGCAAGAGCAATAGACTATATTGTTCAGGGAGTCACATGGACTATCTAGACCAACAAACCCAAACTGAAGTTTTGCATGCCTGATTCTGTGATTTTTGCTTTTGACCGTCTTGGGCTCTTGTGAAAACACTGTCAGACCAAGTGGCAAAACTTCACTTAAGGTGTATAACACATGTATATTTTCATGTATTAGTTATAATTTTAGATAAATATATAACAATACCATTCCTTAGGCTTTGTCGAGCTTCCTTATTTGTAAATGCTATTTATTTGTTTATAAGTTACTTATATAGAATTTCTATATTATTTATAAAGAACTAATTCTAGAGCTGGGGAGATGGCTCAGGAGGCAAAGCACTTGCCACATAAGAAAGGAATACCTGAAGAATGAGTGTTCAGAAATCTAGCACCCACATTCATGCTCTAGAGGAGTGACATCCCGCCTCTCATCCTAGCCCAGGGGAGAGGAGGACAGGATTCCTGGAGCAAACCAGTTAGCTAGACTAACCAAATCAGCAAGCTCTGGGTTCAAGTGAGAGAATCTGCCTCAATACATAAGGCAAAGAATGATGAAGGGAGACACCCATCATTACCCTCAGCCTTCCACAAGTAGACACATGTGCCCACATATATAAACATGTATATATATGTGGACACCACAACATTCGTATACACAACCAAAGAATTGAGTCTCAAAGGAATATTTATTACTGCAGAATGTAAAGCATCTTCAACATTTTTAGATGTTATTTGATTGCAATTGAACAACATTTTGATATTTATAGTCACCAGTGCTAAGAATACCTCATCACACAAAAAAAAATATGTGCTTCAAAATTGCAGAAGCCTGTTTAAGGCTACTTCTGAAGTTGAAAATCCTATCCTAATCCCAAGCCAAACTTTATCGAATCCATTTTCATGAAACTCAAGTTAGGAACTCAAACATCAGCTTTGAAAACTAAGCATTCTGACAAAATATAATACAAAAATATGCTAATTTGATATATTCTGAGGAATGATTGTATAAAAATATTAAAAGTCTCTGTTTTCTATAATTAAGTCCACTATTTCTGTATGAGCAGAAAACTCTCCACACAGTCGGAACCCCGCAGTTCCAAGCGCACAGCAGTCTAGCATACAAGGCCAAGGTTGCATGATATGATGTAAGCGCAGTGTATGTGCAGATGTTGTGTGCTCTGACCAAGGCCAGAGTGAAGTAAACATGCATAAGAGTGGCCAAAAACGCCTTGCAAGTTAGGATTTGAGTGAATATATGGTTATTGCACACTCAAAAACTTATAGTGTGTTATAAGGTTGCTGCCCAGGATTTTAGAAGTTGGGTTATACCCAACAACCAGGTAACAATGAGGAGGTACTGTTTTGTTGTCCAGATAAGACCATCTAACCCAAGCCACTAATAATTATGGGCCTGAATTGTTTACATAGGATTTTTTAAAAAATATCAATGGTAAACATTTTCCAAGTACCTTGGCTCCGTTTCCCTTAAATGCAAATTAAGTAAATATGTTCTATCTAATATTTGATTTTCAGGTGAATTATGGAGAGCTACTTCAGTTTTTAAAGGGGGCAAGTTCAGATCATTTGCAGAAAAATGGAACTGCTTTATACCGTAACCCAAGGAAAACTCCAAATCAAAGCCAGCACAGACAAAGGTATTCTCTTCCTTTGTGTAGGCATATTGTTCCTCCATATCTCAGACCATACTGCTATAGTAGATTGAAGTGCTGTTGCTAGTTAGTTTTGAAAGTTCCAAGTTTAAGATGAAAGATGCTTAGGTTTTCGTTTTCAGATGTCACTTCCTTTCTTGTCCTTATACAGTAGGAAAAAGTTGAAAGAAACCCTGTAACCTCTCCTAGAACAGCATTAGTCCCTTTCCTGAGGGCTCCAACCTCATGGCCAATGGCTTAGAGTTTGAATTTGTGAACCTAACATTTAGTCCATTGCCCCAGACTTCTAGATGGAGCTTTAAGGATAGGAGAGGCATATTTATTTTATTAACCCAGTTTACAAATGCTTGACTTGTGTGTTCAGTCTCTCTCTCTCTCTCTCTCTCTCTCTCTCTCTCTCTCTCCTTCCTCTCCTCCTTTCTCCATCCCTCCCCATATCTCCTCACTCTCATTTCTCTCCCTCTCAGCATAGAAAGTAATTTAACTTAACTTTATTTACTTCTTAATATAAAAATATCTGCCTTTTTGTTTATGTTTTAAAAAGAAAAAAATCTCATTACAAAATGAGAAAGACTCATGTAGGGTGTAGAACTCACCTATAAAGTATAAGGCTAGAAGTAGGTTTTATTAGCGAAGTCCTAGATTATCGGTATTGGCAAAAGTTTTGAAATATAAAAATCAGTTATGTTTCTGTTTAGTTACTAGCAAAAGAAATGACAGAACTTTTTTTAATCAAAGTGTATGTGAGAGATATATTAGACATGAAGCAGAATGAAGTGTGAAATGTTTGTGTTTTCCAAGAATGGGGAGGGCGTTCAGTTGTTAGGAACATTGGCTTCATTGCCAAAAACCTGGGCTTAACTTCTTTACTACAGAATAACTATGTGACTGTAGAATTCGCCACCTCTGCTGGGCTTTCAGTGTCCAGTGGGAAACAGAGACGCAAATAAACTTCCTTTCATTGATTTTTAACTGGTAATAAAGCCAAGATCAGTAAATATCATAAGTTTTCCCTTTTCTGAATATCATTTACCTTAAATTTAAAAGTGTTTGTATGTGTGCTTGTGTGTGTGTGCATGAGTGTCTTCATGAGTGTGAGCGTGTACAAATTTATTCTTGTGTAAATATAGGCCATAAAACTAAAAAGACACCATGAAAGATGAGAGAGAGAGCTAAAGGGGTGGGAAAAAAAGAACAATGGAATTCATGTGCCTGAAGGCAGATTTCAGGCGGGGACACTCTTGGTGATTCAAGGGAACCAGTCAGAGGTATGCAGAGAATCATGGGACATTAGTAACAGGATAGCTGAGAACAAAGTATAATGAGAAATGTTGCAAAACTGTCATAATAAAAAGTTTTGTATTCCATTCTACCACAGAAAGTTAATTTAAAAAAAAAAGTAACAGAGGCAGGAGGATAACTCTGAATTCCACATCAGACTTTTCTACACAGTAAGTTGAAAACAGGCAGAGGTATGAAGTGAAATTCTGTTATAAAACAACTAAAAGTAAAATAAAATAACATAAAATAAATGGATAAGCACTTTAGAACAGTGCCTGATACATGGTGGTTTTTATTATTTCTCCTTTCAGATAGAAATAAGGCTACTTAATAATTAGAAGCTGTAGCTCTGGGGATGAATATCCCTGGACAAGGCCGTGGAGTTGCTTCTGTTCTCGAAATTTTGGCAAGTCCCACTGCAGTTGTCACATGTACCAGGCAAATTGCGGTTTACCCTTTGGGTTCTTAGTCTCATTAATAAAATAATTTAGGAAGGAACTCAGAAGAAAGCTCAAAGACAATTTTATTAGAAATAAAACCCCAAGGCAGACAAGATGTAAACCTTGGCAGCTGCCCCACCAGACACCAGAGATAAAGAAGAGGAGGAGAGGAGTCGTGACACGGTGACACCTGAACTGAGCCAGCAAAGAGGTCAGACATGTGACAGGCAGGCAGCCACATAGCTGGGGAGAGCTTTGGAGAAAATGGAACCCCACAGGGTTATGAAATTCATTCTTAGGAAAGAAATAGAAACAAGATAGTCAAGTTATGCCTTGTGGAAAGACTTGCGGAAGTGAATATGGCTTTGTCTCAGTAATGGACTGCACAGAGAGTGAAAAGGCACATCGTCTCATTAAGGGGAGAATTTTTTTTCCATCTCTTTAGCGTGGCTTATTGTGACCTTGACATTTTTAAGGTGGTCCCTTGGCTAGGTGATTAACTCTGAAGGGAGAAGACATGGTGTGTCTCTATCCAGAGGTAGATCCCACTCTTTGCTGCAATGATACCTCCTATAGTTCACTCCTTAAGTGTGATTCATAAATTTTACAAATTTCTTTGCCAAGTACACTCTGCTGGATATAGTTCAATCCCCAAATTGAACAGGCCTATTCTCTTCCTTACCGGATCATAATCTACAAAAAATTATATTAGTGCATGGATACTCCAGCTAAGGGTGGCTTAGGAAACAGCTATGCTATTAGGAGCCATGAGCCATAGGAAATATAAGTAAGGAGCAACCAGCCTTCATGTACCATAGACAATGAAATTATGGTCCTGGGAGGTTACTGACCATCCATTTAGTGCCCAGCTACTGGTACCATTCATCTGTTATTTAAAGAAGCAATAGCCAGACATGACTATCTTAATAATTATAGATTTGCATGTAAGACTATAAGTAAATGTTAGTCCCAAACACTAGGTCTTCCCAACACAAAGAGGAAGGTTAGAATCCTTGCAATACATCTTCCCAATAGAGGGTTTCCTGTGTAAATCACCCATTACAATAAGGCAGCATCTGTTTGGCTTTGCTTGTGGCAATCAGTAGTTTGGACAGCTATTAGTAATTAACTGAATTTAAAAGCAGAATGACTAAGTAGGTTAAGAATATCATTTACTATTTGGTGCCATTTTCCTCTCAAATGAGAAAAGAGAGCTAGGAAAAATTAGGTGCCTACGTCTATGTAGTAGCCCGGTTGGTTTGTTCCCCCATGAGAAGAAATTGTAGAGCTCATTTCTGTGAAAAAGAAACGTATCAATCTATGAAAACTGCACATGCAGCCCATGTCCACGTTACTAACATTTATGTGGATCCCAGGGAAAAATTGAACCAAGAAACACAACATGAAAACACAGAGACATTTAGCAAGCCAACTTTTTTTTACAGTCTTTGATTTGCCTCTCTAAGCAGCACACCCCCGCAAGGTTCTGGCTTACTGGCTGAAGTGAATAAGAGCTTGCTGGAGATTTTGAAGATGGCCCTAAGAATGTGCCAAGGCAGAGTCAACATAGACAACCTCAATCTAAGCCTTCGCAAAGAAGATCGGTCATTCTCTGGCTGCCTTCCCCTGTCCAAGGTAACCAAAATTAGCTTTTAGATTTGTCAAGCGTCAACAGAAGTACTACATAACATTGAGTTTATATTAACAATAAGGTACAGCTATGATTTGTATTTTCCCTGTGAATTACATCACACCACTGTTTTGTTGTGTGTGTGTGCTTGAGAAGAGAAAAACAAAATAGAGAAGAGATTTTTTTGAAGTGTGCAGAATTGGTCCAGCAATTACTTAAATTGTGTATATTTAATGTTAATAATAGAAAATATGATAATATCCAAATAATACTTCACAATGGAAACAAGTACTTTTCAAGGCCAAACTCATTTCTCACATCCTCTCGCAGCTTCTACAGGGGCCAGCATGTGGCATCTCATGCCTTGGGAGCACCATATTTTAGGGTTGATGTAATTTATGGTGCACAGAGCTCAGCATGCTGATCTGAGACAGTAATTACCAGTGCAGATGTGTTTCATGGAAGAGGACCCAGAACTGTATTAATTCATGAATCTTCCGTAGCCAAATAAACTGATCTCTCAAAGCTGCATTGGATAGAGGTGGGATGATGATTGCTGCTATTACTATAACCGCACTGATAATGCCTCGGCTTCACACTGTTTAATACTTACTAGGTGCTAATCACTGCGCTAAGTGCTTAACTGACATGATCTCATTGTAACATCAACCAAGTTAACTCCTTACACAATATCATGAAATATATTGAATATCATGAAATGTGTTGTTACTGGTGTTATCACTTCATAAGTGAAATTAATTCTGAATTTTGAAAAAGACAGTTGAACTAATTCCTGGGTCACAAGTAACAAGGGGCAAAGTCAAGATCTGAAGCTTAGAAAAGGTTGGAAACCGGTGAGCAAAGAGAATTTAATAAATAGTTGATATCCAGAAGATTTTACTGACAACAGTATTCAAAAGATAGAAATTGGAGCATTAGGAAAGGTTGAAAATTAGAGGGAGAAAGTTTCTATCAAACACATTGTCACATATCCTTCATTCTGGGCATGCAGGGGTTAAAATTGAGGGAGTCAAAGTGGTTTTTAATATTTACTAAGAAAGCAAAGGTACAACACAGTACAGGTGGGTTCTCATTCCCAAACAAAAGCTATCATTCTCTGAGACTGCATTTATGCAGTTGCCATGCAAAGCAAGGTTTATGCTAATGTCGCTATGTGCATGTACTTGTGTATATGCGTACTGTACACACAAACATGTTTCAGTAGAAAGAGAATAATGCAGGGCAGTCTGAACCTCATGAGTTACCTATTTTGTATTCATGAGTGGACTAAGAATAAACTAAGAAGCAACAGTTCTTTATTAGATTGGAAACCACGTAATGCCACCGGTGAAGCCTTGTGTTCTCAGACCTTATGCATAGAATATAACACAAATAACTTGAAAATTAAAACACATTCACTTAATCTATTTTGGTCTCAGATTTTCATCTGGAAAACATAGGTTCCAAATAACATCTCCTTTGACTATTGTGGAGATTAAATGAGACTAAATATGTGAAAGTATTTGTGTACAACTTCATACACAAGGCCCTAAATAAATTCTATAACACACACACACACACACACACACACACACACACACACACACACACATCAGTTTTCTGAGGTTTTTGTCCTGTGGTCAGATGATACAACATTAAACTTTGGCTATCAACAGTCTTTAAATGTTCTCATCTATAGCTGGCCCTGAAAGCTTAACTTTGTGGTTCAAATCCAAGGAAATGGGGTGTATTTTCCTTAAAGCTGGTCTGTCTTTCATGAGCCATCTGGCATCTCTTAAGACATCTGGAACTCACTCAAAGACTAATACAGTTCTGGGAGGCATGTTAAATAGAATTCGGTTTTCTCAGAATGTGAAGCAAATTAGGGCCCAAGGGATATTTGATACAGGAAGCAACTAGGTGCAGCCACACCACAGCTTCCTTTCTCCCGGACCTAGGTTGAAAGCAGAATGGAAAGACCATGCTTGTACTAGAAGCATTGAAGTTTTGGAACTGTAAGTCTTAACTTTCTTAAAGTGCAGAAGAGAGAACTTTCTTAAGTAGTCCATGACAGCTATACACTACCCCTTACCAGAAGAACAAACAAAAGTAAGGATAAAGAGGGAATAAAGTACCCAAAGTCATCTCAGTTCAAAGTATTTGCAGACCGCTTGTAGCTCCCAAGAAATCGAAACATTGTCGAAAATAATCTACAGATCTTGTGACCCACATCAATTGAATTTTGACCAGTGACAAAAAAAAAAAAAAAAAACCCTCTAAACAAATTTGGTGTCAGTCATCTTTATCTCCTTCACCTTGCCCTCTGGCACATCTTCGGTATAATGCTGATTTGACAAGATTGCAAAGGCAACGTGAATCCACTTGTATTCCTTATTAACTGTTCCACTGACTTAGCTACTCTTCTTGTTGCTGTAAAAAATACCTAGCAGAATCAAGGAAAGCTCACAGTTAGAGGGTACAGACCATCGTGGCAGGTAAGTTAAAGCAATAAGAACTTGAGGTACCTGGTTACATTGCATCCAAGGTCACGAAATAAAGAATCATGATGAATAGTTTTTTTGCAGCTCACTTTCCTCTTTTTAGACAGTCACGGATCCCACTCAGGGAATTGTGCTAACCACAACGAGGAGGTCATCCCACCTAGTTTAACAGTTATCCCCTGAGCCCCATCCTTCAGGTTACTTTAGATCTCATCTTGTTGACAATTGAGATTAGCTATCACACCTGTCTGTTGGGGACTCCCAACTCCCAGACTCTGAACTTCCTGTGATACCCCCCCACCCCCCCACCCCCCCACCCCCACCCCCACCCCCACCCCCACCCCCCACCCCCCCCACCCCCCCCCCCCCGCCTGCTGGAGTAAACAACTTGTTTTCCTATGCTTGCAGCTGCTCTGAGCAAGCAACTTGTTTTGCAGCTACTCTGAGCATGAGACCCTCAGGAGTTCCTGATGGCTGGGGAGTGGTTTCTGGTGGGCTTGCAGCTGAAAGTTAGGGCATGGCCATTAGTCAAGGAGACCCTATATAAGCTGCCCTGGAACATAATAAAGAGGAGCATTCTTGGGGCATTCTTAGCGTTACCAGTGTCTCTCTATGTATGTATGTATGTGTGTGTGTGTTTCAATCTCCAGCCCCTTGCCTGACTTGTGAACCTTACCGTAGCACATAGCACATAGAGTGGGCATTGCGCTATACCTGTCCATTTCCTGAGCAAGGAATACATTCGCCAGGACTGTCCAGACTTGAGCATGTAGTCTCATTTTAACACGTTTGGAGAACTTCTAAAAGTCTCCTTTGAATGTGCGCTAACATGTCAGATTCCCTCGCCACCTTCTACAGTTTCTTAGTCATCCTTTTCATATTTCATTGTTTCTATATGTCTGTCCTAAAACAGTCCAAATATTTCAACTACTTCTGGCTTGTTCTCTGCCTTCAATGCAATAATCATATTTCTGATCAATATTATTTAATTGACTTTCACTTTTGGATACATTAATTACTGTGTGTGCTAGGCACTAGTAACAATAATTTGAAATTTTTTGTTCACCAGAAAGTTAAGAAAAAGCAAATACCATCAAAATTTTGTGACAAAGTTAGGGTTAGCTATTAACTTGAACGCAGAACTAGACATTTGTGTGGCTTATCTGAAAGTGGTTCAGAGAGCTTCTTGTCAACATATAAGTTTGACCAAGAACAAAGAAAGAGAAGATAAAATGATGATCTGGATCAAGTGAACAGTGTGAATTATCTCCTGAATGCGGACTGGGGAAGACCATGGCCAGTTAAAGGAATAGCTTCCAGTCAACTATGGAATAAAAAGTATGAGCCTATGTATGAAGGGTCTTTCCAAGGAGTTTATATTTTATCCTATAAAACCCTTGTAACCACCAAAGCATGTTAAATGTTCAAATGACATGATTACATTTGAACTTTTAGAGGAACATTTTAATATAATTTAGAGAATTTTTCAAACAAGCAAAACTGGAAGGAAAGAGAGCCTTGTGGGAAGCTGTTCCAGTAAAGCAGAAAGCAACCATGATGTTTCAAGTAAGGCACTAACAGAGAGGATGGAGACAGTACAAACGATAAAGCAGGTTTGGGTGTGTCATTGAATGTGGCCCAAAACTAACTCCAAATTCATCAACGTGTTCAATGATAAAGCTATTCACTAAAATAAGAAACTAACAGGAGTAATGTGAGGGAGTAGAGTATGGGCTGATGGACCAAATTTTGAACTTGTTGGTCTACGTAGTAAGACTGAAATTATATAATGATTTGAGACCCTTCAAAATGGATGGGACATCCTAGGAGCATTGTAGACTACTCCAGAACATATGGGAGAGTGAGGATGTAAGCATACTGAAGAAGGTACTCCTTATGGAGTCGGTAGGCAAGAAAAGTCAGTGAAAAAGATTAGCATCAAAGGAGATATGGGAGCTTAAAGACAGCAGTGCAGGAGAGTTTGTAAGAACAGAGCATGGCCCTCCAGTCCCATGCTGCAAAGAGATCATCTTTAAATAGGACTAAATTTGCTAACTGGAAACCCATAGAATTTCCTTGTAATTGATAATGATGGTTGAGCCAAGTAATAATGTAAAACACAAAACATGGGGAAACAGGAGCTTGTAACAACCATCCAAGCTCTTGAGACATTATTAGCATAAATAGTCCCTTAGTCTGTCACTTGCTAAACAGTGTAGTTTATTTACTTACATTGAAATAAATGTCTATACTTCTTTTTCTTCTTTTTGTTGTTGTTGCTGTTGTTTTTCAAGATAGGGTTTCTCTGTGTTAGCAGCCTTAGCCATTCTGGAACTGGCTCTTGTAGATCAGGCTGTCCTCGAACTCACAGAGATCTGCCTGCCTCTGCCTCCCGAGAACAGAGATTAAAGGTGTTTGCCTCCACTACCCAGCTAAAAGTATTTACTTCTGATTGAAACCATGTCCTCATTGAGATAAAATTATTAAGCATTTCTTACGAAGAGTCATCAGTTTTAATATTTATGCTTTAAAGTTGTTTTACTGGTAATTCTGCGTAACACTATCTTAATTTTTCTGGTAGATGTTTTCATTGCTCCTCATGACTGCCAGTCAGTTTTTAGCAGCTGTCAATCAGCCTGTGTCTAGGTACGATCATGTACTCTTTCTAATCTGCTATTCATTTTAGCCTACAGCAAAACTGAACGTTGACAACGTGATCTATTTTGAGAATAGATTTTCAATATAGGTGTTCAAAAACACATAAGTATGCTATAATCATGAGGCTAATCTATTTTTATTTATTAAAGATAGCAACTTATTTATTAAATAAAAATGGCAAAATGTGTGATCAATTTCTGTATCTCTTTCCTTTTTTGCTAACCTCTCCCCAAACCCATTCCATTTGCATTCATCTTTGATTTGAACCCTTTATTTTCTAAGACTGCTAAGCAATAGTGGTAATAAAAATAAATGAATAAAGGACCATCTCACCTTGGAAAAGACACTGCCTCACAAGGAAGCTCAGAAGGGCGATAGGATTGCTGCCCTGTCAGGAAGAGGCATGAATCTACAGCAGAATGGGCAACACCAAGATACTTACCATTCTACATAGCACTGGAGTTTCACTTCATTTTGTTTTGTTTTGTTTTTCATCTGTTATTTATATCCCCTTGTCCTCTCCAGCATTCTCCTCAACTCCTTATGCTTTGGGTAAATTCTGTTTGTTGTTTTGTTTAAATGTTTCAATATAATATGTTATTTATTTTCTTCTTAAAGTCCCTCTGGCCGGGCGGTGGTGGCGCACTCCTTTAATCCCAGCACTCGGGAGGCAGAGGCAGGCGGATCTGTGTGAGTTCGAGACCAGCCTGGTCTACAAGAGCTAGTTCCAGGACAGGCTCCAAAACCACAGAGAAACCCTGTCTCGAAAAACAAAAACAAAAACAAAATAAAGTCCCTCTGACTTTAATTCCTCTACACCTAGAAAGTAGAAAGCAAGTTTTAAAACCTCAGAAAAATAAAGATGAGCATTTTTGTCTCTGCGTGCCTACTATGTGCTGAGGGTGAACCCAAGACCTTGCCTAAGCAAAGAAAATGTTACAGAACTATGCCCTTCTCACTGTTTTAAGATGCAAACTCCATTACTATTTGGCTATGCTGATACTAACAGGTCAGTAGACAATTGCTAGGGAGAAGAAGACACCACACCTTCTAGGGCTTCCCAGGGAAGTGCCATTGTGGTATAGGATAAAAGGGGAAGAGGGGCAAGAGCCCTTTCCTATGTTTCTTGCATAATGAATGAGCAAAGCAAAGTAAGCAAGCTCAAGATTAGCTGCCTTGTACAACTCCCTTGAATGCTGGAATTTGAAGGTTGTCCCTGGTTTCCTGGTTCCTATTCAAGGATGAAAATTCAAATGGTAGTGGAACCCTGCAGGTACTTATAAAGCCCTTTTTCTAATTGAATCGCTCACATTCAGCTGAGTTTTCTACTCTCTCTTAACTAACCTAAGAAGGGCAGATTGCAATGGTTAGTGTTAATTGTATGTTTGATAAAATCTACAGTTTGGGAGATCTGCCTTTTTGCCAGGTCTGTGAGGATTATCTTGGTTATGTTAATTGATGAAGGAAGATTCTCCTTAAAGGAAGACCCTTCTCGAGGCTAGCGATTCTAGACCATAGAAAATGAAGAAGGAAGCTAAGCCCTAGCATGCATGCATTTCTTTCTTTTTTTTATTGAAAAAAAATTTCCGCCTCCTCTCAGCCTCCCATTTCCTTCCCCCTCCTCCAGCCCCTCTCCCCCTCCCCCGACTCCTCTCTCCCTCCCTCTCCAGTCCAAAGAGCAGTCAGGGTTCCCTGCCCTGTGGAAAGTCCAAGGTCATTCCCCCTCCATCCAGGTCTAGGAAGGTGAACATCCAAACTGGCTAGGCTCCCACAAAACCAGAACATGAAGTAGGATCAAAACCCCGTTGTTGTTCTTAATTCCTGTTTGTCCTATGGGGGTAAAGACGATTACGCGGGGAAAAGACACAGACACGTGGCGGTCCCACGTGGTACACTTTAATGGGGGGAGGGATAACAAACAGGTAGGGGAAAACGTGCAGACACACTAGGGGAGGCGGAAGGAAGGGGCAAACTCGTGACTTTTCCTTGCTTTTAAAGGAGGATGCAAAGGCTTCTGGGAAATGTGTCCCCAGGGGAACACTGGGAGTTGTAGTGTTGCATGAGAACAACACCCGTGCCATTGTCCTTGGCTTCTCATCAGCCCTCATTGTTCGCCATGTTCAGAGAGTCCGGTTTTATCCCATGCTTTTTCAGTCACAGTCCAGCTGGCCTTGGTGAGCTCCCAATAGATCAGCCCCACTGTCTCAGTGGGTGGGTGCACCCCTCATGGTCTTGACTTCCTTGCTCATGTTCTCCCTCCTTCTGCTCCTCATTGGGACCTTGGGAGCTCAGTCCAGTGCTACAGTGTGGGTCTCTGTCTCTACCTCCATCCATCGCCAGATGAAGGTTCTATGGTGATATGCAAGATATTCATCAGTATTGCTATAGGATCCGGTCATTTCAGGTTCCCTATCCTCAGCTGCCCAAGGAACTAACTGGGGCCATTGCCCTGGGCACCTGGGAGCCACTCTAGGTTCAAGTCTCTTGCCAACCCTAAGGTGGCTCCCTTAACTAAGATATGTGCTTCCCTGCCTGACGTCTATAATTTGTGATCCTAAAGAAGCTAAATAAGAAGGTGAACACATATTCAGGAGGATGCCTATATGTCTTTGTGGGAGCCTAGGCAGTTTGGATGCTCAACTTACTAGACCTGGATGGAGGTGGGGGTTCCTTGGACTTCCCACAGGACAGGGAACCCTGATTGCTTTTCGGGCTGAGGGGGGGGGACTTAATTGGGGGAGGGGGAGGGAAATGGGAGGCGGTGGCGGGGAAGAGACAGAAATCTTTAATAAATAAATAAATTAAAAAATTAAAAAAAAGAAGGTGAACACAAAGAAAAACATATAGTTATCCTCCAGGCTATGGGAAGTAGACAAGATTGCCAGGCAAAAAATTGGGATCTTGGGGGTGGGGTGAGATAGAGGTAAGGGGAGATGGGGAGAGAAAAGTGAGAAGGGGAGGATGGGGGGAACTTGGGGAAACGGGACGATTGGGGATAAAGGAAGGTTGGATAGAGGAGCATGCATTTCTAGCTCTTTGCTCTATGATCTGGCCAGCTGCTGTGTGTTCCTGTTGCCTTGCTGCCACAATGCTGGACTGAACCTTGAACTGAGTCAGTTTAAACTCATTACTCCTTAAATTGCTTTGGTCAGGGCAATGTCTAACAACAACAAGAAAAGACACCAAGAAAATGGCATTAACCATGAATACAACACAATTGCTTTTACAAACCGAAGTACATGATACAAAATGTATCAGCATGAGGAAGGGAATATCCTTCCGAGGCCTTAACCACACATGGGTTGACAAAAATATAAGATCAGCATCAGAATGCCTAGTGGCTTCTGAAAAATATACTACACCTATTGGCCAACTGAATATAAGTGTGTTACCCATACGGATAGAGTTGAAAAAGCACACGCTGACCTCAATGACAGAATATACTCCTGAGCAATAAATAGCTCCTTGCAGAATCATATGGGCTATCATAGTGGGAAGAAATCCAAACACTCATTTCATTTTACTAAAGCTTCAAATCCTTTCTTATTTCTAGGTCAGAGCTATATGTGGCAAACATGGATTGTATCTAACCTTGACCCTGCTGGAAACATTGCTTAACCACCAAGATTTGGGTTACCAAGGTGAAATAAAGTAAGTTGAATTTTGAAGGTTTTGCCCCACCAAAATGAAAATATGGTAAAGGCCTAACTTAATATGGTGATTCTGGTGACTGAGGCCTTGGAAGTTCACTAAATTTAGATAAAGTTGGAGCACCCTAGGAAAAATAGTAATTTTCCAAGAAAAAGCCAGGAAAGCTTCCTTCTCTTTCTACCTTAGAAAGACACACCAAGAAGGCGATAACCAGAACTAAAACTTTTTGTCGTCTCAGCCTCATTAGAAAAAGACAGTGTCTGATGTTAGACACTTTGACATCTGTACTGTGCTATCTGTGGATCTATGGAAACTCCGTAACCCTACTGCATTCTATTGCCAACCACAGACATCTGCCTTTAGAGAACAAGTCCCATGTGACAACCAACCAATTTCAATCACTTGCCAGCTAGGCTAAAGAACATTTTATTAAGACTAAAGGAGGCTGGCTAAATGGCTCAGTTGGTAAAGGCCTTTACTGCCTAGCTCGATGACAGAATGCCACATTGTAGAATGAGAGAATCTGCTCTTAAGGTCCCCTTGGACCTCCACACATGTGCAAGCACATACACACTAAAGAAAGAGATGTAATATTTTTAAATATTTAAGACAAAGGGTTGTCAATAGTCATAGAAACACAAATGAGGAGACCTCTCCTTTCAGCCCTTAGGAATCTCTATGGTCTATACTTGCCATTCCTCCTGAAACAGCTAAAGAGTAGGACCAGACAGATGAAATAGTGTTTCAGAGGTTGAGGATTGAGCATTGTCATCAAACTGTAACAAAGGCAGGAAAGCAATGAAATTGGCTTGGCTTGCTGCAAAGGAAAGAGAAAAAAATAACAGGCTAGAACCTTCAAAGAGTTGGAATGAGATAGAGTTGGAGGTTAGGAAGAGCAAGGAGGATATAACATACTTTACCAGGTACGTAGGTACAGGACATATATCCCCACACACATCCCCTGGAGATTTTAAAGAGTTGTCTTCAAGGATTTTTATAGGTACTAGCTTATGAATGAAATTAGGAAACTGCTCATAACACTGGAAAGGAAAATATAGAAAACATCTTAGGGCACACGTAATTTGTGTGGGCTACACTAATTACTTTATGCAAAAATCTAATCCTCCATTCTCTCCCCCTTTATCTGCTTTGCTTTTGTTTGCTCTACAAACCTGCTAACTTCTTTTTTTAAATGTTTCGTATAAATATATATTCTATACCTAGCATAAAAATTCCTTAACTTCCAATAAGTGAAATAACATTGATTTAGCATGCTATATTCATTGCCATATTGTGATAAATAGTAAACTACAGTACCATAAGGCAAGTAGATTCCTTATTCACCTTTGTATACCAAATGTCAAAAGCAGTAGATATTATGATGATAAATGTTTATGCGCTTGAATCAAATTAGGAGAGAAGTTATCTCAAAATAGCTCACGGTCAAACTGAAGAGTGCCTTTCCCCAGCATCTCAGCGAAATCAGGTACACAGTATTAGATGCTCTAATAACACCTAGTCATGTTACCCCTAGTTATGTTCTCTTTAGAACCCTGATTTAATTGTGTCTTTTCTTAATTTATGTTTTCAAAGTGGCTTTAATCTAAAGAAAAAAAATCAAGGGCTGGAGAGCTGGCTCAGTGGTTAAGAGCACTGGCTGCTCTTCCAGAGGTCCTGAGTTCAATTCCCAGCAACCACATGGTGGCTCACAACCATCTGTAATGAGATCTGGTGCCCTCTTCTGACCTTCAGGTAGAACACTATATATATAAAATAATAAATAAATAAATAAATTTAAAAAAAGAAAAAAAAAATCAAGCACCAGAGTGTACATTATACATAGGATATAGCAAAGACTCCATTGATATTGTTGATTAACAACTAATTCAGAACCAGTATTTCAGGGATCTGGAGTATAAGAGCAGACCGTTGCTTTCTTTGACCTTTGAATAGTCTAGGATTTCAAAACCATGAGAATCAAAGAAAAAAAAATATGGTAACAAGAGATAAACATATTTCATCTTTAAAGAGTCATTGGCTAAAGCTTCATCTGTGAATTAAACCCATTCCATTATGTGCTTTGTATGCAAACCTATATCCTTAAGAGATTAAAGATGCAATTTAGGCACACATTTTAGGAGCTGAATGCTCAAATCATTATCTTAGTACATATTGTCCATTAATCTGCGTTCAATTGGAAAGCCATTTGGAATGTGGCTGTGCACTAATTAGCAGGATTCTAGTGCTGAGCTGCTTCCTGATTAAATGTCCTTTAGAATCAATAAAACATCAGGAGGGATTGTGGTGATGTGGGATTAGCCCCATCTAGCCAAATAAAATGAGTTGTGTTCCCTTTTTAAACTCACATGTTGTGAGCTAACAAGAGGGACAATTTTTGCCAGTCCTGAAACAAAAAAAAAAAAATGTGTTCTGTTGATGTTGTTGTTGTTTCTTAGATAATTTTTTTAAAATTGGAGATTTCATTTTTCATCTTCCCATGTTCCTAACAATTAGCAGAGACATTCGTGAATGACTGCCAGGATAAGGTGATTGTGAGGAAGACTTGATTACGATTCCTAATCTCCACTCTGAATCACCCTTATGGAAAATGAGCTCAGGTTGTGTTGGATGAAAATGATTATCCCTATTCTTGGCCGGGGAGATGGAAGTCAGAATTCACATTTAATGTTTCTATGTGACTTTGTAATAAATGGTAATTTAGGAGGGCAGAGCAAGAACAGGAGGCAATCTAATACTCGGAAATTATATTGGCAAAATTAAATGCTTCAAACCAGTGTAGAACACACGTGCACAAGCCAAATTGTGTTGGAGAAGGAGATAAATAATGAAGCTGCTATGGAGGCTTCCTGAATGGCGCAGACCAATTGACACAGCCACAGGAGGACATACGTATCGTACACATCTGGCCCATTAGAGCAAATAGAGTTAGGTTGGAAAGGAATTTTTGCAAATCCTGGGAACGAGCGGAGAATTTTAGGAGATAAAGGAAGCATGAGGTGTCTCATTCAGCAGTTGCTGTTAAAGGGAATAGGAAAAGTGTTTCACACAGGACTATTGGAGATGTGCCGTGTTCACCCAGTGGCTCGGTGGCAGACAGCAAACCTATCTTGCTAGTCTGTATTCTCATAATGATGACAGTGCCGATAGAGGTGTCACTGCTTATAGAGAACATTTGTAGAACTTAAACAATTCCAAGCAATATTTCAAGTGTTCTGTTAAATTTTAACCTTTTTGATTCCTGCAACAGCTCCATGAGGTAGGCGCTATTCTAGTTTTCAAATGAGGACGTGGAAAACTTCCATGTCCCTGATGAATGAATTCATCAGAAAGGCTGAGTTAGTGCAGGTTTGACAGCTTTAGTCTTTGACCATAACCATATAATGTAGTTACTTTCCTGCAAGTCCTACAGTTCTGAGAAGTTTGTGTGTGACTGGGCAACAGGCTTTGGATAAACTGTGTGCTGGAGTTCACCCTTCGGTTTGGTACTGGACCCAGTTTGGAACTTGGGTCTGTCTGGAAGAATTTCCTTCCCCTGGCAATTAAACCTTGAATTTCCATCCCAGGATCTGTGGCTTTTGTCATGGCAGATTTTTCTAGTCTATACATGCTTCTATAGCACAGCTGTATGAGCCACAGGTACCATTTTCTCGCAGTCCTGGAGGCTGGAAATTTAGTTTTCTCACTGTAACCTCACATGAAAGAAAGGATGAAGGATCTGTTACTAGAAATTCCTGATGATTTTTCCCCAGGACTTAAACCTTCCAAGGACTCTACCTACTAATACATCATGTGAGAAGATTTCAATCAAGGGATATATAAAGACAAATATCTGAGATAACCCTAGGAAACGTTTGCACCTTGCTTGTCAGATGTCTCTTCTGACAGGCACGTTTTGTGCCCTTCAGTAAGAGTTAAGAATTCCAGGACGATTGAACTCTCCTGTCGAGGAGCATCATTTCCACATGGCAGTCTGGACAGAGCTGCCTCCTCTGTGCCCTCCTGGCTGAGCATTATTGGATCTGTAGCAGCTAACTTCATGAGCAATGGCAAACAGAAGCACAATCCTTGCAAATCTAGCTTACCACACCCTGGTGCTAAGACCACAGTGAACAGATTGGAGAATGAAGAAAGACGGCTGGTTTGGGTGAATACCCAGAGTTCTTTTTGACTATATGAAGTTTTCAGGGGAACATTCTTCCCAGAGTTAGCTCCATTGAGATTACAAGGGTACACTGTAAAATAGCCCATGTTTTGATTTTTTGGTGTTGAGGCTTAATATCTTTTTAAATATCAAAGGTTCTTATATAAAAAGACATCTGCTTTATAGTCCCTAAATAAATGGACAAAAATTAAGACAAAACCCACTGTCATTACTAAAATGTATGGGCACTCCTTTGATATGTCAGAATCAAGAATGAATTGTCACCATTCACATAACCTAGCAGAATGTGAGGGAATCTGCAAGCTACCTGACCAGGGCTTTCTAAGAAGTGTGCCAGGCAGAAGATGCACTGCTGCCTCCCGCTTGGTTGAGAGACCACAGACAAGTCTTGCCACACTAGAAACATGAGGTGGTACTGCTGTCAGCACTAATCCCCCATCCTGCCTAAGCACAGATGTGTGGCTGCTTCCCCACACAGCCCTCATCGATAGCTATTCAGAGAACACACCTTTGAAACAACAGGAAAGATTTGGGCTGAGCAAGGTAGGAAGCGGAAAGCCTGGGCTTTTTGCCTCTGGCAGTGCCATCCCTGAAAGTTAAGTTGTGTCAGTTAGCACAGAGACAGATGGTAGTTGTGTATACTAAGGAGATTATGGATCATGACATATGATACCCATGTCTTGTATCCAACAAGTATGGTGAGGGATCTAAGAAAGAAGAATCTGAGATGCCAAGTACACACAGGAATTGTCACCTGTCCCTTGTCTGCAGGCCTATGGGAACAGTGAGCAGAACCCTGGAAATCAGGACAAACTCTCATTTAATGGTGAATATAAAAAAAAGAAAAAAAAACAACATATAAAGCCTACTTTAAAGGTGCACTTTTATCCTAAAAGATAATTTTAAAAAGAAATTAAAAAAAAACTCTAAAGTAAAATAAGCATGATAAAACATGGGAAAGGAAGTTTAACCCTAAGTTCTCTAAACTTCAATAACACTTCGAATATATTTCTGCTCTAAAAAAAGAAAAAGAAAGAAAATATTTCTGCTCTAAAACCTAGCAAAGTTTGAGAAATTATTGTGGTTCTTTCAAAGTTGCAAAAGCCATGCATCCTGTTGATATGAATTATAAAACAATAAAGAGATAAGAATAGTGAGACAAACCAATGATAAAAAATAAAGCTTAAAAAGTATTGAAGATGTTTGAATAAAATCATGAAAACTTGGAGAAGAATGGGTGATTTCAAGGAACCCTCAACTTCTCTGGAGAATTAAAGTCACTAGTAATCAATAAAAATAAACAAAAGGAACACAGTAGAAAAATCTAATATGTTATGCCAAACTTAAGGGACTTCTACAGAATCTATACCTGAACAAAAAAAAAAAACTTGGGGAAAAAAGATAGAGCATATTATATAAGACTAGAATACTAAAGTTACTTGGCATCATTGGAAATTAGGAACAAAATAGAGAAATAAAATAAAATAAACACCAAAGTCATCCTACGGTAGCTCATTTTCCTTACATAACAAAATTCTGAATTTCTCTGCTGTAATTTTAAGTATATTCAGCTGAAAGCATTAGAGACTGAAAATCCAAATCAGGTAGCTTTGTTAGCTTGGCCTCTGGCTAGAGTCTTTGATACCTGAGTAACAATGTGACCGATGGCATGTGGCAGAAATACACACAAAAGGAGATATTGCGTGGCAGGACAGAAAGCCATTGATTTGGAAGACCAGTATTGTTAATTTTGCAACAACTAATTGTAAGGGAATTTACCAGAGTCCCTTGAGAACTACATTAATCTCCTCGGAGGGTAGCAGTCCTGGTGCCCTAATAACTTTTCTTTAGACTTGACCTTGCAAGAATCTTAATGTCTCAATATTGTCAAGCTGCGGAATGGAGGTCTAGTATATACTAGGTGACCTACACAAACCATACTCAAGGGATAGCACCAACTAAAAAAAGTTTACAGAGCTGGTGAGAAAGAGCCCCGTGTATACAAATTGAAAACTCACTTCACTACGATCTAAGCTAAATTAAGAAAAAAAAAATACACTTTTGTGCTTGTATGTTACAAAGAGAAATTTGTATTATAAAGACAAATAAAATTTGTCCAAGATCTTCTGAAAAATACAGGGGAAATTAATTAACAATGAATAAAAATCAGACTAACCACAGACTTCTACAACGGTCAATGTTAGTAGACACTGAAAGAATGCCCATAATTACAAAGTGGAAAATATGGCTGTGAAGCCAAGTTGTATAACTGCCCACTCGTGGATCTTGAGTCAGATGAAAAGGGGATGGTAATGACTCATCCCTTTAACCTGTGTCTCAGGGTGAGTAGCTTACAATAATGAATAAAAGGTACCAAGAACACCCTCTGAAATCTATATTAAGTAAAAAAAAAAACAGTTGAATTTGAAACTTGCTGGTGTTTGAGAAAGAACCTCTTGTAGCACAGGCTGGTCTAGAACTTACTACGTATCGGTGGATGACCATGAATTCCTGATCATTGATCCCTACCTCCCAAGTGTCATCATAAGTACACAACACTATGCTCCCTAGAGAGTGAACTCAGGACTTCATGCCTGCTAAGCAAGCGCTCTCCCCACTTAGCTACACTCCCAGTCTAGAATTTGAATGTGAAGTTGAATCTTCCTGAATCTAGAATCAAGGTCCCAGTCTTTGTTCCCTAGCTGGAATGAGAAAGCTTGGTACATACTTTTGTTATTAGAATTACTAGTACCTGTTATTACAACAGGAACCTATTCTTACATTTAAGTTGAATACTTTTCTGAAGGGCTAAAAATGAGATATTAAAATGAGGAGTATTTTGTAGAATAATCATAAGAAATGTATTGATCACACAAGTCCCTTAAGCCTTTTGTGTCAGACAACGCCCAAGCTGAAGCTTTTGGAATATTTGCTGCCTTATCTTCCTCCTATTTGCAGCATATAATCAAGAAAAAGTAGAAAACTTTCTAATAGTGTTTTATCTCGGGCCTTGTCTCCTATAGTTTTTTTTTCTGTTTATGTACTCATTACTCATCTGTGTGTGTGTGTGTGTGTGTGTGTGTGTGTGTGTGTGTGTGTGTGTTGTGTGTATGTGATCATGCGCATGCCTGGAGAATTCAGAGGAAAATTTTCAGAATCAGTTGTCTCCTTCCATTGTGGGCTCTAGGGATTAAGTGCAGGTTATTAGGCTTCTATAGCAAAGTCCTTTATTCTCTGAGCCCTCTCTCTGGCCATTCTCTCTTACTTGATATCTGACAACATGGCTTGAAATTTTCTGACAGCTCTGAACGATAAATGGAATATGCAATCTGTGACTATCAGTAGATCTAGGCTCTTGGCTGTGTTTTATTGTAAAAAAGTTTGGAAGGTGGTCTAAGAATATGCCTGCTCTTCCAAATAGTGTCTAAAATGAAGCAGTAAAGAAAACTACAGTTTGTTTCCAGGGCTGAGCTATTACCTGATGCTTGTATGATTATTACCCCATGAGAGCTTTCTCTCCTCCAGCTTCTCTTTGCCATCCTAGGCCTGCTGCATCTGATACAGTCACCTGGTTTTCTGGTTGCATTATTGCACATCAGAATTTACCTCTTTCTCACATGGAGCTCTGGAGACCACATGTTCAAATCTCCTATCAGAGTCCACATGCTGATCAAAGAATGCTCCTGATACATGATCCATGTATAGGAAAAGGTTTATGAGATATAAGTAAAACAAGCTGGTTTCATTATTAACATATCACTTCTATTTAAAGAGAATAAAATTATATGATATTAAAACTTCTTGAGAAAACCTAAGACACATTTTTGCCAACTTTCTCTCTATCTCAGTTGATCTGCTGATGGGTCAACTAGAAACTAATCTTCTCTCCATTTAGTCTGTTTGCTAGCAGCAGACACTGTCTCTCCCCAACATGAGCAAATGCCAATTTCTTCATTTTTCCTCAATACTAGTTCTTTGAGAACTTCATACAATGCATTTTTGTCATATTTATTTCATGCCCCAGTTATCCTAGATTTATTTCCTCATCCCATCCACCCAACTGTGTCCTGTCTTTCGTGGTATGGACTCTAATTTCTGCTGCCTGTATACTCTTGAATGTGTAACCTTCACTGGGGTCTCACTCTTAGAACAACTGGCTCTCCCTCTCCAGAAACCATTGACTTCCAACAGCTACCTCATTAGAGAGTGGGACTTCATGCCTCCGCCCCTCTTCAAGCTAGGATGTGGTCTGGGTTGGACTTGTGCAAGCCGTGTGCATGCTGTCACAGTAGCTGTGGATTTGTACCTCCAACAGCTCTGTTGGACCTTCAAAACAGTTTCTGTTTAGTCAGCCACTGCCTCTGGCTCTTGCCATCTCTCTAACCCCTCGCTGTGACCACTGACGTGTGTGAGGAGGGTGTGACACAGGTGTGTCATTTAGGGCTGTATGTCTGGAAGCCTATGTACCTTGACCAGGTGTGAGTCTCTGTGTTAATAATGTGAAGCAACTCACAATATTAGGGGGAAGTAAAAATCACACAGGACCAGAAACAAATTAATGACAGAGATAAAAACAAAGACAGAGGAGGGACGGACGAGAGGAGAAGGAATAAAGTTATTCATAAACAGGTGGATCACCGTCTTAACTGAGCAGAATATGGATATTTGACTATCGTCCTAGCCACACTGTATCCAAAAGGAAGCCAGGCACCTATTACTGCCAGAGAAGCATGTTTATATAATATATAAATGAATTCTGGGCAAGCAAGTATAAATGATTTACACTACCAAAATTTTGATGGATTATTTTATGCTTTAGATAACTGATTTTTCAGTTGCAACATACATTTCTTCCAATACATTTCTTCCTGGGATGTCATTAAATGTTAAGTCCAGCACATGTAGTTATCCTACCTGTATGTTTGTTGTGTGTTGCAATCCTTTTGACACTCACGGCAATAAAAAGGTACATTTCTGATAGCCACCTGAAATGAAGATTCCATGACTGATATAATTCATTTCACTGATAGGTAAAGGTATAAGATTGTGAGGTGGAAAAGGGGGCAGAATAGCGCTAACACTGAAAGGTCATGGACTTATTCATTTTCCTATGTAACAATGCAAAAATAATAGCTAGTCATGTTTTTACAGCCATTAGAACAGTAACTGATTTTATGGCTAGAGGTGACTGTGACATTAGCCAGATTTTCTCATAGTTCCTGGTCTCTGGATGCCCTGAGTTTGACAGCAGACCCAAATCTCCAGTCTGCTGACTTTGCTGTAATTCATTCATTTGTTTCAGGGTGCTGAATTTCTAACCTATGGTCCATTATTATGTGTTTGTTTGGTTTTTAGACAGGGTACTACTGTACAGTTTAGGCTGGCCTCAACCCCCTAATCCTCCTGCTTTAGCCACGCCCCCTACCCCTGATATTCTGGGGTTGATGGCCTAGGTCCCACACTCATCTATCTCTTCCTGTAACTCTAAGGGCATCTGGTTCCCTATACCAATGCTCTTCCTGGTAGATATACATACCTTAAGTTATTTGTTTCCTACACTGAATCAAAATCCCTTTTAATATTGCTGCCAACGAGTAAAACTCAGCTTGGCTGCGCATGCTCCTGAAGTAGAGGAAGCATCGCTACTCATCACTCAATCCTGGCTCCTCTTCTTACACAGGTGGCAGAATTTTGTTAAGTGGCTGGAAAGGGCTTCTTCTGATCTGTTGTGCGATTCGCCTGTAGGTGAGTACTGTTCTTTCTTATTCGTCAGCAAACCTAGCTGGGTTTTATTCCATTCTTCCCAAAAATATTCAGTGAAGAAAGGACAGGACTGAAAATTTCCTTAAAAACCATTTATGTTTTTAGATAAGGAAAAGTGTAAGTCTTCTAGCTCCATATTTTACTTTCTATGGCAACCCTTTGATAAGAATATAGCACACTTACACATGAAGTTGGTATTATTGGCTTACATTTCAGATGCAGTCTCTTGAATCTACCAATCCTTCAGGTTAGCGTCTATTTTAGTAATAAATCACCAAATATCATATACAAATATAGTTATCAAACATATATGTGTGTGTGTGTGTGTATGTGTGTGCCTTGATATATGTTTAGTGCAGCAACTTTTATAAATGTCTTAAAATTAGAAGCATGGAAAAGATCCTTCAGGGAACATTTAATTAAATTATACTACAACTGCCTGATTAAATTGTTGAGTTTTAAACAACACAACTGGGCTGCCACATAATGATTTCCATGACATATTATTAAGTGAGATTTTAAAGATGAATATGGCAAAATATTTAGCTATTAGCAAGTTTAAATATGACAGGAGAAAAACATATGCATTTGTATTAATCTGTTGCTATGATTTCTCTACTTAAACACCCACTAACTACTGTGCATCACAGTGCAAGGTACCAAGTGTGTATGGTGGGGTTGCTAGGGATGAATATATCAGTCTATATCCAAGTGGCCAGGGGAAACATGGAAACAGGTATAGGGCATTAGTCATGTGAGAATCAGACACGGAAAAAGTTGAAAAGAGGTATGAAGAATGTACTTATGATCCCAGCCTCGATAACAAATTTTTATGATCCTGGAACTTTGAAAAGTAAAAAAGGTTTCAATCATAATTCTGAAGTCTGTAGATATTACATCTAAGTATCATTGAGGGCCATAATCCCTCTGAAGTCTCTTGGAAAGGGCCTCTGGTTGCTTCTTACTTTGAGTAGGAGGTTGAAGCCTCCAAAATCTGTTACATATGATCCCATGTCTGCTCACATGTCCCCTTACCTTCTTCTGTTCCCTCTGTGTCTCTGTATCTAAAGACCTTCTCCTTCCTCTTAAAAAGATCTCAGCTGTTCTCAAGTTGATTATATATATAATGATTGTTTTCAGATAAGACAAACTCATAGGTGCCAGTGGGTAGGAACTGAACATGTAATTTGGGGGACATAACTCAATACTTTGATGCACTCCAGACCTTAGTGACTAAGAAACATTTCCAACCCTTGGGTTCTGGAGAAAGCATACTACAGATCAGCACACTACATCAAAAAGCTAGAAGACAGTATTCTTACTCACCTGGTCAGGTATCTCTAATGAAAGTCAGGGAGTTAGAGAAAGCATTCCCCAGGACATCCTGGGACGCTGGGTCTTAAGTGCCCCATAGTTTGGAAGGTTGGCATACTCGTATTGCAAACAGAATCCCATATTATAATGCTAAGACCTCTAAATGCTTTCCTGTGCCTGTGAATTCACATATAACTCCTGCTGAGAATGAAGAAGAGTGTAATAGCTCAGCTCTTCCTCAGCACCAGGGAGATGCTTGCACCATCCTCCACAGGACTTTTCCTCTGCCTGCATGCATCCCAGCACCTCTCAGACCAGATTTCCTTAACTTTTAAACTCATCAGTCAGATCATGTTGGTATGTACCCAAACATCCTCAGTTTCATAATCACGTTTTTAGGCCCTATCTCAAAATACAGTCACATCCAAGCTACCCGGCTTTACATTATCAGTACACAGGGGCTACAGAAACACAATCCATCCCATAGCAGATGCCACGGATGAAGTACTGGCTTTATGGATACGTAATAAACTTTCTATTAGAGTATTTACTTTATTGCACTCTGACTTATTTATTTCATCATCTTTAAAAACAGAGAGAAAGAAAAAGGAAGAATAAGAAACTGCATGTGCCTAAGGAGCTGGATTCTATGCAGTGTGCAGAGTGACTTGAGCCTGACAAACAACAGATAATGTTACTCACTGGAGAGCATCCAGGCAGAGAGGGCAGAATGGCCATTGTTGCTCTGTGTTATGGACTCACGGTTACTGATGGGAATTTTCCATTTCTAGATGACTGGACCTGTGATGAAGTTTGATGTCCTGCTTGGAACCGAGAAAGACAGTGGTTAAGACATTGTTAGAGGCTTAGATTAACTAGAACAAGTTCAGAGCTGGAACAACTTATCAGTCCTACCAAACCACAGGGCACTGGATTGAGTTGAGTGGTCCTACATAGCAACATGTAGTTTCCATCTCCAAAGAGGGTAAAGGAAGAGGAGAATCCCCAGGGAATGAGAGAGGGCTGAAAGCTAAATGGCCAGAAGTTGGCACCAGTGCTAAGGCTCAGCCAGGAGATCTTGTAACTCTTAGCACATGTTTTTTCTTCGCTTTTCCTTGGGCTACACCAATTCTTTCCTTGCAGCTATTGTTGAACACACTATGCACTGCTGCCAAAGGCTTTGCTTTTCATGTAATTTTCCAAGTGCTTCTCCCCAGGCATTTGCATGGTTTATTCCCTTGTTTTTAGTCTATTGAGCATTCTATTTAATTATGACTTCTTAGGAGGCCTTGGGCAAATTGCTTGGTGCCACCTGTGGTTCTTACCTGTGAATTTGTGTCTGGTTGTTATGGCACATATCTGGACCTGACATTGTTGTGTTTGTAATTCCTAGCTTCACAATTAGAATGTACACTGCATGAGAAGAAAGCTTGTCTTGTTCACTATTGTGTGTCCTTCCCAAGACAATGCTGGCTTCTGGTAAACACTTGACTAGTGTGTCTTCCATGAATGAATGAGTTGGAAGCAGGCTTACAACCACTTTTGATATTAGCAGACAACTGGAATTTTCATCTTCTTAGTTAGGTCATCTGTGGAATAGAGATAATTTCCACCTCACAGAATTATTCTAGATTATGTGGCAAACTTTTGATATATGTTAGTTTGCTGATCACATAAGCTTCATTTATTAGAACTCATCAATCCAGATGCTTTTACTTGGATTAAATGCCCTCAGCTTCATTCTATTTTCGAATCACCTAGAGAACACATTTAAAAAGTATTCTCTTTGCCTGAAATCGAGATTTAATTGGTCTTGTGAGTCATCTGCACACTAGTTATTTTTAAAGTTCCCCAGGTTGGGATAAGATAGAGCAGCACCAAAGAGTTCTGATTCGGATTCCAACAGTCGGTGTGAGCAAACAGGAAGGATGGCTGTGTGAACATCACACTCTCCTGGCAGCCTTATAAATCCTGGTCCTTCCCATGCTTGGAAACTTCTAGAAGCCAGTGGGGTTTATTTCCCCAGTGCAAATCTTCCACTGGCTGACTAGACAGATGTTTCTCATTTGCCCTTCCTGCTGTGTTAGGAAGAAGAATAAGAGATCTCCAGCACAGGTCTTTTAAACAATGTTTACATATGCAAGTGATTACCTTTGTATACACCATCAGATATGACAAGGAAAAGGGGTAAATTAAATGAAACTAAGCAGACTTTTCATATATTCTCCTAAGGGAACTTTGAAAGGCTCAGACAGCAAGGAATAGCTAGAAAGAGATAAGTCTAGGTTCTAGGTCTTATTCTAAAAAGTGTCATGCATTAATTGATGCTCAGAAAAATGCTTGGTATGCTATATGGTAAATCTTTTCCTCTGGGGAAATGAGATTTGCCTAATGTCAAGCACCTTCCATTGTTGAGTATTTTACATAGATGATTTTAACTTCATGGTATTACAGCAAGTTCTTGGAATTTTACAGGCGAAAGAACTGGTCCAAAAGTTCACTGTTGGTAGAAGAAAAATACAGGGTTAATGGTTAGGTTTGTCTGACCGTTAGTCAACACCCCTGCCTCTGTGCCATACAGGGCTGCTAGAGGCCCTTTAGCTGTCCATCTCTGCTTCAGAGTAAGCTGGGCATTTCTTCTTGCAATAAAGAGCAAATTCTTTTCTTTCACAAATGTGATGCAGTGAACAAATCTCACTGCAAGTAGGTGTTCATGGGTTCCCAGGATAACTTAAATTCTCAAAAGATTAATTCAGATTTGCTTCAAAGGGACTGCTATCACAACCTTCAGTGAACATCTGTCTTAGTTAGGGTTTCTATTGCTATGAAGAGACACCATGACCACAGCAACTCTTATATAGGAAAACATTTAATTGGGTGGCTTACATTTCAGAGGTTCAGATCACTATCATTGTGGGACATGGTGGCATATAGGCAGACATGGTGTTGGAGAAGAAGCTAAGAATTCTACAACTTTTTTTTATTTTTAATTCTACATCTTGATCCACAGGCAACAGAAAGTGAACTGAGACACTAGGTGTGCCCTGTGCATATATAAGACCACACAGTGACACACTTCCTCCAACAAGACCATACCTACTCCAGTAAAGCCACACCTCCTAATAGTGCCACTTCCTATGAGCTTAGGTGGGCCAATTACATTCAAACTGCCACAGTATCAGTTGAAGTTTATTCTTTGCTATCTGGGTAGGTTATGAGAGAGAAAGAACTACAGAGACACATCCATGTTCTCAGAGGATTGTAGAAGGAATCGGAGAAGAGTTACCCACTTAGTGGCTCTATTTTCCAAACTTGATATAATTGCCCATAGTCACTCATATTGGAGCAAGCTCAGAGGGCCATTCTCTGCTGGGTCCTGAAGCTTCAGGTGAATATAAAATTGCATTTTCTTCTTTATCAACAAACTGAAGAAGAACTGGGGAGATGACTTAATTTGTAAAGTGCTTGCTCTACAAACCGGAGCACCTGAGTTTGGTTCCCAACACCTATGTGAAAAAAAAAAAAAAAAAAAAAAAAACAGGTCCAGCGGGGCATGGAGTGGCTATAACCACAGAGCTGGGAATGCAGAGACAAGAAGGACTGTGGCAGTCAGTCTAGCTAAACGGTAAGTTCTAGATTCTAGAAGAGACCCTGCCTCAAAAATATAAGATGGTATAAGTTGGAGAGTGACTGAGGAAGATGCCTCTGGCCACTACACAAACATGTACTCGTGTTCATAGTGCATCAATACATATGCACACACACAAACATGTATACCCACATTTACTATGCATATGTGAACACCAATACAAAAAGTAACTGAAACACATAATTCATATTGATCCAGGAATTCAATGCTAATAGAGTATTACGAAGGTGATTTAAGCCTGTTGTGGAAATTTAGGAAACATTCTTCATTCTTTTTAACACTTATTGAATACTTGCTATGTTCTAGCTAATCCCATTTAATACTAGCAGTTACCCAAGGTGTCCTCCTTTCTCTGACACAGACACACAGAGAAGTGGAATAGGTTGTTCAAGGTCATAGATCTCAGAAGGAAAATATCTAGGATTTAAATCCAAGACTTCCACCTCAGAACTGACATTCTCGCCCACTATGTTACATTGTTCCCTTCCAACTTTGCTTATTTTGGCTCATTTTTATTAAAAATAGTGAGACCCAACTGAGGACTAATGTATGTTTGTTAGTGACCTATCAAATTTCACTCAGCACTCCGGGATACTCACAGGGATTTGGAGTCCATAAAATCCTCCCTAAGCTGGGAGGGGGGGGGGGATTGAGCAGAAGGTTGGTTGTTCTGCAACTAAAGCAAGCTGGCCTTATCCCTGAAGACAGCAGCCGACAGCCTGGGAATGGGATGTATACACACAGATGATGGGAAAGGGAGTGCAGAGCTTACGTTCTAAAGGACAGAGTCACAGGAAGAGACTCTCAGTCTCATTAAGCAGCATAGGATTTTCTGGTTCAGGGCCTTCTACAGGTTGTACTCAGCTGGTCCACACCTTTGCTTCACGGGCACCATCACAGTGCCTTTGTCCAAATGACTCCTGCTCATTCCTCCAGTCATCAGTTTGCTTCACTTCCTCCAAGAATAATCCCTCCCCACGGCTTCTACTGCTTCTAAATAAACTGAAATGTTTTCCTATGTCCATATATTTCCTTTCTGTGGTATGTATAATAATTGTGTTTGAATAGTTTGTCTGAGAAACTATGTGGAAATTCACAGGTAGAAACTTGCCTTTTATCCACCAAGGGTCTCCCTGTTGCCTAGCACAATGCAAACAGCCAGCAGAGCCTCATGCGTATGTATATGTTAAATGTGCATGCAAAATTCAACCCTCCTCTCTCTCTCTCTTTGTTTTTCTTGTTAGGAAAGAATGGAAAGAAAACCCCAGGGACCTTGGTCGAAGTCCCTGAGAGACCCCAAAGCAAAACTGAACATGTGGTATGCATCTAGGCATGTGGAGCTCTTGGGAGGGCCTTGAGAACCCTGATTGCATCCTCCCACCTCTTGCTGGGCTGGAAGGCCACCCTCCCCTATGGGTTCTTTATTCCCACCCTACACCTTGCTGTCAGACTCTCTTTAGGACCTGCCTCACATGGAAAGGAGAGGCAGATTAACTCCTAAAATATGATATGTTTAGTTCCCATCCTGGTTAGTATGTGGAAGACTCTTGCCCTTGCTCAGTGATGGACTTGTCATGTGCCCCAAGCAATTGTTTTTGTCGCATATATACAGGTGAGCTTCCAAAGCTTATGGCCACCAATTGTCATCAGTCTCTAGGGTGGCCAGAAGACCATTTTAATAGCTTAACGCCGGCTTCCAGAACCTGAGAGTGTCCTTTCCCTAAGGGATCACTTCTTAAAATTTAAGAATTTCTCTAATTTTAAAAGAAAAAAGAAAAACAAAAAATAAGAAAACAACTATCTAGCAAATGGTTGAAAATCCACCTTAATATTCTCAGCAGTTAGTGAGGAAATTTTGAAGAATTGAAAAGCAGCATGGGCTTTTCGATTGTTGTTGTTTTGAAATGTCCAGATTAGAACATGATTTGTCTTAAAGTGATGGGAGGCCTCTTCATGCACTTCACACATGGAAATATTTTAGAAAACAGTATCCATTTTGGCAAGCATCTTGTCATGTAAAAAACAACCACAAATGCTTTTCTCCTTGAGTGTTAAATCTGTTGTGAATAAGATTATAAAAAATACATTTTGCTCTTTTATTTTGCCTCCTGTTGAAGGGGCTTTTTTGCTTTTCCACAATAATTGACTCTTCTCACATCCTTGTATAATCAGTCTTCATTGTCCCACTTTTTTAAAAAGGAGGCGAAGAAGGGGATTGATAAAACAGCTTTCCTGTGATACCAGAGAAAATAATTCATTTCATATGTCTATTCATTTATTCATTCATTGACATACTTACCCAACAAGCATGTATTGAAAACTTTTGTTAGGCAGTACCCAGATTTTTGAGATTTTTCAGTAACTATCTCATATGACCTTGATGATACATCAATAACTACCTCTAGGGCAATAGATACTTTGACAAATATAATATTGAATTGTGAGCGCCTGGACAGGCAAACGGGTGATGAAGAATAAACTCTTGCTCATCCTGGTCTACAAAGGAAATCAGTACAAGAAAAAGGATCTGAGATGGGTCTTGCAAGTTTCATAGGAGCTCAGTTATTTCAGGTGCGAGCATCAAAAAGGGCTTCTGTAACCAAGGGAATAACATTATAAAGAGATAAAGACAAAAGATACCTTCAGTTGCCAGGCTTTATGTGCCTGGAGAAAAAAAATGCCCATGTAATACTGAAAAGGATAAGCAGAGAATTTCGCAAACAGAACACTAATGTCCACTGGACCAAGCAAGAATTTGGACTTCTCCTGGCACAGAAAAATCATATAAGCTATGTTAGTTACTTGCTCCTTCACTGGGCCTGGTTTGGGTTCACACAATCTCTACTTCCCCTTGTCTTTAATTATCAGAGAGTGGGGAAGTACCCAAAGAAATTAAAAATGAATAAATAAAACTGGACTTTTTGATTAAAAAAATCCATGTATGCAAGTATAGTAAATGAACAGATTTCTCTAAAACTTTTGCCATTTCTAAAGTTGCCCAAATCTCTAAAAAGGCGTAAGAATCACTATTTTATTTTACTGTGTGAAAGTTTTCTTTGTCCCAAAGTTAATTTTATCAAAACAAAATTATTTTATATTCATTCTGAAAATTTACTAGTTTCCTGTCAACTGTGTCAGCGCAATTTCACACAGTGTTCTTCACATTCTCCAGGAGCAACCTCATCCATGTCTGTTACCCAACTCACAGGCAAACTTGTCAGAGCCATTCCTCTCTGGAGTGTGGGGTGCATACCACTTCCAATTGATAAGTTTGACATGGGAAAGAACTGCAAAGCTTCGGCTATTTGAAGGTTAAGGGAACTCGGATGGTACAAATCAGAGGTATTGTTTTATGGTGAACATTTTAGACTGTGAGGAACAGAACAAGCTCTATAGTATAATTAAGTAAAAGAAAAACAGAAAATTTTAATGTGTTAAATATGGACAGAAGTGTAACATGAACTAAACCAAGGAGTCAAACATAAGCAAGCTTTCTTATCTTTACTGTGAGCTTCATGTTCCCTGCCCCTTTGTTGCTGGACAACAGGTACACTAATTGTTTTGCATTGGATGCCCAGCCTCAGACCATGCAATATATATGGTGTTTCTTCTTATAACCACGTGGACTAGACAGGCAGGAGGTGAGTTTCCTGAAAGCCCGGAGTAGTGCTGATCAGGCCACAGACATTCACAGAAGCTGCCAGGATGTCTTATTTACTAGGCACCAAAGGGTCTCATTTGTCTATTTCATCATACTTCTTTGTTCTGTTATAGGCATGAGATTAGGATATTGAAGTGAGCTAGGCATCACTTCTATGCCCTGCTTATAGTTTTGGGTCTAGTATGAGGCCTGAGCAATTTTAAAAGTCTCTTGTCCATTCTGAGCTTCTATCTCCCTTGTTAAATTATACAGAGAGAAACTTAGCTATTCTTGAAACTTGACCCACAGGCCAAAGGTGACACTATTATTGTGCCAGTCACTCGTTCACCACAAACCGCTGCAGAAGTAGTGACTTTTCTCAGAAGCTCAGTCCATGTAGATTCCTCTAGCACCCTTAGAAAAGGACATCGGATCTGTCAATCAGGTCCCAAGTCCTTTGCCTGTTTCAAAGCAGAAAACTGGACAAAAGTGATGATGTCACCTTTCTCAAAGAAAGAAAAACTCACCATGTTTGCATTCAGCAAAACCTTGGCAGAAAGAGCCTTGGGCTGCCGAATACATGAGACTCTCCCTTGCTTTCCAAAGACAGAACTTGCAATAAATCTTTCTACTTGTGTGGCCTCGTCTCTGGCCAACAGTCTGGAGCTCCAGGTACTGAATGCTTATGTTGTTTTGGTAGAAAACTCCAGAAGAGAATCTCTGGCCGGAAAACCCTACTGCTATGATTTCAGCCCCACAAGAACCAGTGAACTCCTTTAAGAAAAGGCCAGTCTCTCAGCCTGATTTGAGTCCAGCCATGATGAAAGAGGCTGAACAACCTGAGCTGTGGATAGACAGGTTCAGAAAGCTGGAAAACGCCCTCTACTTATGTGACCTGAGCAACACAGGTAAAGTATGGATTCCAAAGTCCACTAGCCTATCTCTATTTGCGGTCTCACCTACACATAAATGCCTGGCTTACTTCCATTGTATAAGTAAATAGAACATTTTATCTGGAAAACAGGTGCCTGGCACAATCAGAAAACACGAAGATAAATCAAAGAAGAATTGCCCATGAGGTGACTGAAAATGGCATTGTGTTTCTTATCCCTTACCTCCACTCTTCCACCAGTTTAACACAGGCTTCATTCTCGCCATTCCCCTAAATCCTCCTGCTTTCAAGAGAAACTCCAAACTACTTAGCAAGTCGAAACCCAGTGTCTGCGGGCCTGAGTTGTCTCCTCTACCACTTTTACTCTTAGCATTCCTTGCACAGTCCTAATAGGTCACTTGCCTTTCCCCGGATATGCCTTACTTTCCCATTTGTCCAAGTCCTGTGTCTGCCCAGTCTCCTTCCCAGCAATATTATTTAAACTAGAATCCAATCACTCTTCTCTGGGACTTGAGATGGATCTAGGTCAGACTTCATCTGGCTTTGCCAGCCTCTTGAACATCTACCATCATATTGATAACACGTATATTTTACTTGAAGGTTATTGCTCCCTCACTAGTAGACAGTATTTTTTTTCTACTGCCTGAAACTAGCTTAATTTTTTTCAAATAGTTTTTCTTTAATTTGGAGGAAATAAAAGATTGTATGTCTATAAATAACCAAGTACAACATGCGAGGTGACATAGGCTCTTAGATTTTGCCATGTGGGCATTCAGAGAAAGAAGACTCCTTTTGTGGGATCAGCAAAGGCTTTATTAATGTTAAAATGATCGCCAATGGTTTAGGGCAGGCATGCCCTGTAAAAGCACTTATATGAAAATAGCAATGTCTTTAGTCTCTTTGTGTTTTTTCTGTTTTGAATTTCTAATACATTTTAGATCTCCTGAAATATAATTATATAATACGCCAAATTTTGTTCAATAATTATGTGAAAGGAAGGAAGAAAAAGAAATTTAGAAAGAACTGAGAACTTTACATACAAGATTAAGCTGACTGGATAATAAAATATGTATTAAAAATCTGCTAATGACCCCAGCACTGTGTTAGAGTCTAGACCAGGAAGAAAACCAAAGAGACTGAGTCGCAGCTTCTGTCCTCAAAGACAGACTTCTAGGTAAGATACAGAGCCTTGCAGTAGTTAACAGCATTACAAAGGAAAAGTAAAGAGATAATATATAATAAAGTTTCTTGGTTAAAGGAAGAATTGAGAATTAAGTAGTCCAAAGGAAAGGCATGTAATAGTGCTTAGCTACTATTACATATGAGGAAGAGTTCTAATATACTATGTGCTTCAAATAATCTCAAAAGAAGGAATTCTGGATAATTCCCCAATAAGAAGTGCTAAGTATTTGAGATAAATATGCCTACTCTGATTAAATTTTACAAAATTTTATTTTTTAGCAGAACATCACAGGGTACTCCATAAATATATATCAATTGAAATTGATAATATAAAAAGGAAAGAGACAAGCTATGAAAGGAAGGTTAGCATATAATATGAGCTGAAGTACCAGAGACAGTACTGGGGAGGCATAGCTGGACCTGCAACATGATATAGGGAATATTTGGGTGATGTTAACAGGTTATGCTATCTTGAACCCATCTTCTGCAAATGTTAGGAGGTGAGCTGACTTGCAACAGGGAAAAGGGATGAACAAGACAGACCTGGAGGTTTCCATTAGGGCCTTAGACACATGGTGATGTTGAGACTCTACCTGAATCCTGGGAGCTAAGATGAAGCCTCCTCCTTTACCAGAATCCATCAAAAGATCAACCAGTGAAGGCCATCAAGAGAGCTGAGATACATCAGTTAGTGAAGATTTCTCTGGAGCAGAAGGGAGAATAAAAGGTTATTGAAGCAACCCTGAGCAGAGCTACACACTGAGGAGAAAGAAAAGGCATTTCTAAATAAAATGTCAAATCATGATAATGGATAATGGATGCTGGATCCTAAACTTAGTTGCTAGGAAACTCCCCAAAGATTTAGACCTTTCTCATAGTAATGAAACAGTCTAAGAAAAAAAAAATGTAGTTTTGCTGACTTTGGGGACAGATGCTGATGGCCATGAGATGCCTTTTTCATGCCCCCTTCACTGTTTATGCCTGTTTTCTCCGTTTCTATGAGGTTTGCTAGTTGCTCAAGAGCCAAAGAATGTATCAGCCAGATCTGGGAAAATCTACTACTGTCTTTAATGGGAAAGCGGATTAACTAAGGTCACGCTGTTGGTTCATTAGCCACAACGTTTCACAGACCGTGGAGGCCTTTTCTAGATGTGGAGCTGACAACACCTGCTCTGCCCACAGATGACTCACTGTTCTTTATTATGTGCAAGGAGCTAAGTAGGCCAGCGTATTCCCTATCCAGCATCCAAGGCAGGCCATCCATCATCAAATCAGGGTTTCTGGGAACCCACTGAGCTGATTCTCTAATGGGGCTTGTGAAGAAAATAGCCTTGAAGAGAAGAAACAAGGAATGACAAGTATTCTAAAGAAAGAGCAAATGGTATACTAAGAATTCACTTAGTGAACCAAAGGCCAAATAGAAAATAATAAAGTCAAAGAGGCAGAATGCTGTAAAAGACATTCTTTCCCCAGGCCTGGATATTTCATGCTTTTCATCTCTAAATTTTCAATTTGGCCAGAAGCTGAAGGGTTAATGTCCTTCTTTCCAGGGGAAGAACTCAAGCTCAAAGTGACAACACAGTGGCCAGTAGGAATCTAATTCATAATTCAAACCTAGGTCTTCTCAATGTTCCACTACAGCTAGTTCTCAAGACATACTAGAAGGAGAATGTGGTGTTGCTTATTTTTGATCCAGAGATATAGATTCAAGCCCAGACTCTACCCAGGCAATGTTCCCCACCATTAAAACTGTTCAGAGCCACCTGCCCAAGGATGGTGCCACTCACAACGAGGTGGATCTTCCTACTTCAATTAACAATTCAGAAAATCCCAAAGGCATGACTGTGTGCTAACTTGATTTAGGTAATTCCTAACCCAGACTCTTCCAAGGTGATCCTAGGTTTGTCAAGTGGAAAGTCAAAACTTACTAGGACATGAGGAGTACACCTTTAATCCTTAAAGATATTGGAAAGCTTTTGTTTTGTGGTTTGTGTGGGGGGACTTTATGGCATAGATTTCACAGTTCAAAAAACACAAGTAGTAGATCAAATGATCCATATTGATTATTGTACCTTCATTTCATGTGATATAGTAGTTTACTTTGAGCACCCTTAAGCAAATGATTGAACAACTCTAGGACTCATAGGAGAAACTCTAGTTTCTCCTTTTATGAAATGGGTCATGGTTAAGGTCAAATAAATCAATATTGTAAAATGCTTGGAATGGAGTTTGAGGCATGGGCTATTTTGTGGGAAAAATAGTCATTGTTGTATTTGTTGTTCCACTTCAGTTAATCTTTTGCATAGCTTATCTTCCTCGTGGTTTGGAAAGCTTCCCTAGGCAACAGAATCATTTCCCTGCATCTTAAGTGCAGCATCCAACATATCTAAGCTTCCATTTTGGGCTTATGAATCAGTTCGTGATCATCAGTAATATTGTGAGCCGCACTTACAGCCCTCTCTGTGGCTATCACCCAACCTTCATGCAGAAACCATGCTAACGTTGTCATCATTGAGTTCTATCACACAGGTTAGTGGGAGAGAGTCACAGGAAATATGTGTCAAGAAGGAGCACTTTAATACCTACATGTTTCAGAACATCCACAGGTACTTGGATAAGAAAAAGAAATCACAATATTTATGAACACTTTTAACAGGCACCCCACTTCTGTGAAAATTTGCCCTAAGATATATGGATTTAAAGAATGAGCTTGAATTCTTTAGAACATATGTGTGATGTTACTGGACCCATCTGCTTTATTCTACACTGAAGTCACTCCCTAAGATCTATAAGTCATATCCAAGACTCTAAATGTCTTAAGCTAATTTAAAGAATCTTTTAAAATCGATTTTTATTGAGCTCTATATTTTCTCTACTCCCTTCCCTACTTCTCCCTTCCCCTTCAACTCTTTCTCAAGGTCCTCATGCTTCCAATTCACTCAGGAGATCTTAAAGTCATAAAACATTAGTGTTTAACATCTACCTACAACTCATTCAAGCTAACCTATATCTTTCCTTGATTCTTCTTTCCTCATTAAAAAAAAAAATCTATCAATGTCATCACAGGAGTTCTGGAAAAGGAAAGAGTCAGACGCCTCATCCACAACTACAATCTCATTTACAACTTGTCCCTGAGTCCTCGGAAAATTGACCTGGCCTTGCGGAGATTCTGTTCTGGAGAAAACGTAATCTTAGAGCCAGCACTGCGGTACTTGAAGGAGCTGTAAAAACAAGCATGCACTCTGAGAACTGATGTTTCTTTCATCTTCCCATTACCTGAACTTGTGCTTTTCCTCAGTATGCATGCTGGGATAGAGGCTCTGTCTGAGCTGAGACAGATATAGTTGTTCTACCTACTTTTGCCTTGGATTTGGCTATCAGGAGGAGCTGTTCACAATGATCAGAGAAATCTGGTTTTCTCTTCTGATGTAACAAGAGTCCAATCACTTAACTTGCTCTTCTGTTCTTATAGAGCTTATCATCAATGTGTTTGATGCTTTTTTTCAACATTGCTAACTGCTTTTGTAAACAACATGAGTTCATGTATCAAAAAGCATGCAAGATGGTGTTAACTCACCAGAATATCTAATGAAGAGTCAACTCAATAAATATTTTTGTTGGGTGTTTGGAGACAGGGTCTAAATATATAGTCCAGACTGGCCTTCAACCTGTAGTCTTACTGTCTGAGATTCCTTTGGGCTCCAATACATAATTTCCCATGTAGGCAAATAGGTTCATATGCTAGTCACTATTCTAGGAAGGATTTCCACTACAAGAAAAATAAAAGTATTGACACTGAACAGTAAGCAGGAAAATAATTTTAAGTTAGAGTTTTCTAAATTAGTCCAGCATTTTTTCCAGGGTAATGTGACCAGTGTCTTCAGGGATATTTCCCAAAATCCTTGAGAGAAGTATTAAGGAAGGATGCCTGGACTTAGAATTTGGGACATGTTCTGCTCTCTCAGGGCAGGAAAACCTGGTAGAGTTTCCATCAACCACAGAGTTCTCTCTTGAATATGTTCTTCAGCTCTTCCCTTGCTAAGCACAACAGAGATAGCCATGGGTTCACTGAAGACTTCAGAGATAAGCCATCCCTGGGAACATCACCAATGCAAACTAATTTGGTTGATAACCTTGAATGGTATGGGAGATAAGATGAATAAGTTAGGTCACCCATGTCAGGGAAGCATCAAACAAAATGACCTCTGAGCATGCCATGTTGTCCATTTTCTAGTGAGGTACCTCATGATAATATCGCATGAACAAACTTCCAAGAGCAAAATAACCTAGATTCATTAAAATAAACTCTTTACTATCTTAACTCCTGGAACTCTTAGACCTGCTTTATTAAGTCGAGAGAGTAAAGACAGGAATAGCTTTCTCACTATGCCAACTTGCCAAGTGAAGAAAATGAGGGTTTTAGGTCTAATGGTTCCATGCAACTGCTAAGTACCAGTAAGTTGACATTTCATTCCCCCAACTTTGATATTTCAATAAGATGTCTCATAGGTCCATTTCACAGACAAGCAAATATGCTTAGAAAAGTAAAGAGTAAGAAAGTGCCAGGCTGTGCTAATCACTTGCTGTTGAAGGAACGGCGGGGCTGTGTTCCTGCCACCCAGCTCCCGGCCGCCTGGCTAGCTTATGCCCCAAAATAACAACACACAAACTGTATTCATATATAAACTGCTTGGCCCATTAGCTCCAGCCTCCTACTGGCCAACTCTCACATCCTTATCAACTCACCTCCATTAATGTGTGTAGCACCACTAGGTGGTGACCCACCAGGAAGATTCTAGCGTATGTCCATCTTGGGCTGAAGCTTCATCGCGTTTGCCCTGGAGAGGAGTGGCATGGCGTCTGCCTCACTTCTTCTTCCTCCCAGCATTCTGTTCTGTTTACTCCACCCACCTATGTTCTAACCTATCAGGCCAAGCAGTTTCTTTATCAATTAACCAATGAAAGCAACAGATTGATATGACACTCCCACATCAACTTGTCAAATAGAGGTGGCTTCCATTGGGAGCTCTGGATCCTGGTAGACCCTTTATCTCTGGGCAGGAGGGCAGGAAAGGCAGCTGGGATAGAGGGACCCCCATATCTAATTTGAGATTAGATTAATAAACTCAGTCATAATTGCCAACAACACAAGTTTTGCTGTTGCTCAGAATTTTCTATCCCCATCCAGCAGGGATAGAATTTGTTGCCTTAGCAAAAACTAAGTACATAGATGGGGCTCATTTTCTATAGACTGCAGTGTAACAGGTGTTCTTAGAATTGTGTGCCTACAGGTGGAATGTAACTAGTTCTCCAACAGTATTGGCTGGATGAATGCTTCTTTACAGAGCGAAACCATGGCCAGCTCATAACCCACAGTCACCCTCAACATCCAGACTACACCAATAATAGAAGAGGAGCAGGCTCTAAAAATAGCAAAAAGCCATTCAGTACACAGTAGATTTGGCAGTGGCTTGATCTCCCCAAACTTCAGTCTCTTCATCTACAAGAAGGAAGTAATTGGACCTCCTTGTAAGAGTGTGATAAACACTTGAAACAATGCCATTTTTACAGCTCCTCACATATAGGAAACATGAACTCTCAGGAAATCTAAAAAAAAAAAATGAACAAATGGTCTGTGTTGTGTAACAGAGGGGAATCAGGCCATTGCCATACTAAAACAAATTTTGATATGTATTTTGTTCTTCTAGTATCAAATAACAATTACTTTTGAATCACCTCCTGTCTAGTGTTCTTCACTGCTTTATCCCCAAGTCGTGTGCGTGTCTGTGTGTGTGTTTGTGTCTGTGTGTTGTTTTAAAACAGAGACATGAAGTAGTGTGGGAGGAAGGGGGAGGGTGGATTTGTAAACTGTTACAAGAAGAAATGGGAGTAAATATGGTCAAAATATGTTGTATGAAATTCTTCAAGAATTAATGGGATATATATTGGTTTTTCTCAAGACAGAGTTTCTCTCTAGCTTTGGAGCCTGTCCTTCAACTAGCTCTTGTAAACCAGGCTGGACTTGAACTCACAGAGATCCACTTGCATCTGCCTCCCAAGTGTTGGTATTAAAGGTATGCACAACCACTGCCCGGCGAGAGTATATTATTTTTAAAAGAACAGTAAGACTTGCTTTATTTAGAACTGTCAAAGTGGCATAGGGACTACTGCAAGGGAGTTTTGCCCTAGAGGAGAGATATTGGGTTCAACTTCAATATGGCAAAGGGAAATGGAACTTACTGCTAATGATCAAAAATGCAGGGGGATGAATATGTGAAAATTTAAAAGAGGCATCAGAAATGGGAATGGGGGTTATAACTAAAACTACCTGATATGATTTCGAATAAAGTCAGACCACATGACCATAGGATAGTTAGAATTATGGCAAGAATTGAATGGTGTGTGTATGTGTTTGTGTTTCTGCCTGGGTATGTATGTGTTATGTGTATATACTCATTACTATTATCTAAGTAAAAATTAAAGAAACAAAATTGACCTTCAGAGAGAAGCATATTATCAAGGTCACAATGGATTAGTAGAGGTGATATGATGTCTTCTTTGAAGCCAAAATGGACATAAGTATCAATATGATGTCCTTATGCTTAAGAATGTCATTGTGGCCTCTGTTGTTTTGTATTATTCTCAGATAGCATGTTGTATTCTCCCTCCGTGTCATTGTGGAATTCTAATAAGCATGGATAAGTAAAGCCTGATGTCTGTTGATTGACAAGCTTTCTGCAGTGAGTGATGGTGTATATTAAGTTTCTTAGAGACAATCCAGTGGTGCATGTGTGTGTGTGTGTGTGTGTGTGTGTGTGTGTGTGTATGTGTGTGTGTATGTGTGTGTGTGTGTGTATTCTAATTTTCCAAGCACTGAAAGCTTCAAAGATGAAGAAAGAAGAAGACAAAGGCATCATCTTACCAAGGGCAGACTCTCTCATACCATATAGCCTTAAGCAATTTACTACGTAACAGAAAAATAGCATTCCATTCATATTAAATGAGGTACTGCATCAGTAGCTTAGCACTATGTCTTGCACACCTCAGAGAAGTGCCACAGAGGAAGTGAGAGTGTGTTTTGATCCTTTACCTTCAAACAATGGGCCTAATCATTAGTCTTTTCCAGATACTGAAATTAATTAGGATCTGGCTCATTCACAGGGGTCCTTTCTGGTCAGCAGAAACTATATTTTACATTACTCTCCTGCCTGTGATTGTTCTTCATAGTACATAAACGAGGTTGGCATTACTATGTCCCTCTCACAGTTGAGAAACAGGCTCAAAGTACTACTGTAGTCACATAGTTCTAATAGCCCTAGTGAGAAGGACCAAGTCAGGACTGGAAAACTGTTGTGCAAACTCCATGTCCAGCAAAGCCGTGCAGGCCACAGTGGCAGCAAACAACTTGCAGAACACTCCAGAATGAATTACCTGAGTCTTCAGCAAGCCTGGCAGCAAATCCAAGCTGGGGCAGAGCCTCTTCATCTTTGTCACCAACACCAAGCCCAGAACCTTCACTGAGTGGGCCACTGGTAAGCAACCTAGCGAATGAAGCTCACATATGACCATTAGCAAACCCCACCTGCTTTCCCCCAGCTCCATCACCCCTCTGAACCAGAAACAAAGAGCATGCTCCAGTCACCTGGGGATGGGATGTTCACAGAAGCCAAAGCACAACAGAAGCAATAGTACAGTCCAGAGTTTGCTAAGCGCTAACTCTTCTGAGGAATTCCAATGATCATTAAAAGCAACAGTAAGGAGGGGGTGCTATTCTAATTGGGATCAGAAAATGGACAGCTTTGATTGTGTCTAGAGAACTGTGACGCTCTGGCAACAAGTGCTTGCTTTCTTCTCCCCCTCTCTTCACCCCCTGTCTTTATGAGCCTTTCAGTTACAGTTCCAATGCTCCTTAGCAACAAAGGCCTGCTTCCCAGAGCTGGGTGCCTCAGGAATGCCAGCCCTTCCCCTCATTAGCATTGAGGGGCCTCATCTGCCTGCACAGTTGGCCCAGAACCATGCAAAAGGCAAAGTGGTTTGGGGGAGGCCCAGCGTTTACCACGGCTTGTTGGAAAGTGGGAAGCCGCCATAAAAGTTTCCAAACAAAAGGCATCAATATTATTTGTGGAACCATCAGGCTGCCTGGGACACAATATGGCTCTGGCTTGGCCACATGCTCTTTCTGCAGGTTCTGAGCAAAGACTCACGGTCTTCCCACAACACATCTTGG